CAATTGCAGTGGAAATGTTCCATGTAGTAAAGGTCTTCCAAGATACTGTGTTATTAATCATTATTGTATACCTAATGTATCCAGTTATTCAAATTTTCCAGAACATTTGTCACTCCCCTTGGAAATTGACCCACAATGACACTCTGTGGAACATATTTGTTATGTAATTGCTAATTCATCAAAGTGACAAATTAAGTTTCACATGATAGTCGAGTCTGTTGATAATAAAGAGTGTTAACAACCCAAGTACATTAAAGAAAAGGATCTATCCACTAAATACTAATTTCTTCCTCTACCCCCTTCCCCCCCGCCCAGTTTTATTGGGTTATTTTATTAAAACAATAAATTTTATCCAGGGTCAGAAAAATAACCACAAAGACACTGTTTTTGCTAATAACTTGCAAGTTATTCCCATCCCTATGTCTTGTGCGGTAGTCAAAGGAACAGTTTGAAAGTGAATTTTGTGAAATTGCAAATGAGAGGTCACTGCAAATAGAAATCCTGATTAAATGGAAATTGAATCCATGAACTAATAAAACCAGTCATGTTACGTTGAAATCCAGGGCCAAATGTTTAAAATTACATGAAATACTATGCCCATATTGTTATATAAACATTCTAGTTATATAATCATCCATATTGTTATGTTAGCTCCAGTACTGCAATCGCTTCACTCATCCTCCATCACACATGATCCAAATAATTAAAAAATGTTAGTAGGTAAAAAGTGTTAAGTCATGCTTGTTACCTTCCTTGTAAAATTAAGATGTGAATTTTTGTTGTAGCGATTGGTGGGCCACGTGCTTCCCGGATGAAAATTGCTCCAGATATCAGCAACGAAGAAAGCTTTCCCACATTGTCCGCTTCCAAAAACATGGATGCAAATTCACCGTGGGGTAGAAGGTGAGATTTAAATTATAACTAGTGTTCATAAATATTACAAATTTTTCTTGGTATTAATGGGAAATCTGTGTAAGTAATAAAAGGGAATGCTTGTGTGTCTGTCGCACATAGATGCAGAAACTACCTGACTGATTTCACTGAGATTTTCACTTTGTTCTTATTAACCAGGAGTGTTTTAAGAGTTGTTTGAATTAAATCTGACAAAGAGGGGCTATTGATGTATGCGCATATCATGACACAAGGACCTCTGAAGAGTCATAGGGAAATCATGCCCAAACATGAGGGGAAACATTTTAGCAATAGGGTTCTTGACAACCATATCCAAACCTGGAGATAGAACAAACACGTACTCACAAGAAAGTGTTTAGTCTATTACAATTCTTGCAGAGCATGCAAAGTGTAATACACTGCAATAGCAAAGCATTCCTAAGTCCACTAGGAGGGAGGATATATTGTAAATTGCTCAGGAAATATGTTTCTAAAATGTAGTGGTATGGACACCCTGTGCAGGGCGAGCAAATGGACCTAATTAGTGAAGTGATTCGTTGATTGTTCACGAGTTAATATGAATGTTCAACTATCAAATTGCGAAAATATTTTAAAACTCACAAGATCTTTTACCATGCTGGAATAATGATGTAAAGTCATTGCTGTAGGCTGAACCCAGTATCCTGCCCCTGGTACCATCATTAAAACATTTAGTTTATTATTATTATGTTTAATTTTATTATTATTTTTATGAAGTTTTAGTCCTTGTGAATGTATATCAGGGTGAAAGTCGATCTGTTCTTTTTAAGGGTTTGAAACCATACACCTTCACTATTTATAGTTCATCTTTAAGTGATTGTATACCTTTACTTCCCTGTTGCTAGGAGTGTAAACAAAGGTTTTTCTATAATAATTCAAGTCCTCACATAATATATTATCATTCAAATAGAGATTTGTTGTAAGTGTTGTATTGTAAGTATTGGGGCTGGAGGGGAAGGCTAGTTCTCTAGTGTTTTTTCCATTAAATTCTGCAACCATGAGGTAATTTCATTAAAGGCATAAGAGGTAGAGCTGACAGTTGTAGCCTCTAAACAGGTTGTTAAAAGCAAGAGCTGTAAAACCTTCCTAAACACAAGAAGTTATTCATCTAATAGCAATGCCCATTGGTATATTGCTGACCAGTTGGTTAAAATTGCTTTAGTTATAAAATGTTTTATTATTTTTGTAAAATACAGAATTAATATGAACCTTGCATAACATTTTAATTCTTTAAACTCGCTTGTGGAATAATTATCAACACTTTCACATACATCCACTTCTGGAGGCCAGTGACAGCGCCCCTTTGCTAGAGTGTATGTGTGCATGTGTATTATTCATTTTTTGGTACACATCGCTGAACATTGCAGTAGAAACATACAATCTCCACGGAGGGTATACCTTCCCAAAACATCCATTTCCCCTACGACTTACATATATAAGGCACCAGTGTGAGTATAATTTTGGAGGAAAAAGCATTTTATTACAGACAATGATTTCCTTGTTTCGTAATAATTGTTTTTAGTATGACATATGCGGTGCTATATGCACCATTGCAGTATAACGTAGCCAGATGGTTACAATATTTTCACTCATTTATAGCAGTAAGTCGTTGGGATTCACTGTAACTACTCTTATTTAGATAATTCTCAACAATTTTGAACTTGCTAGAAAATTTGTGCTTTTTTTATGCATTCTAGATGCACAAGTAGACAGAATGATTCAATAATTTTCTTAGTCATATTACTCTGTAAAAATAAATTGGCTTTGCAAAGTTATTAAAGTATCTTTTGGTCTTACTGTTCCTTATCATCCTCTTATGGCTTTTTTTCTCCCTCATTTTCCCCTCTGGAAAACTCGTTTGAATTACCTGAATTTCATATATTTAGTTTTGCGTAATATAAACAACTTTTCACTTATCTAAATTGTGAACAATGAATGTTTCTGAAAGAAGTTACCAAAAGTAAAATTCACCAAAACGTAACTTCATTTGATTATAAACTGCACAAGTTAAAGAGAAAGGCAACCACTGTTGTTGAACATATTTAATTGAACTTTGATGTCTCTATAATATAATATTGTAAGTGTGAAATATAACATTTGTATTATTTTGTTGACAGGCGACGTGATGAAGGTACCTTTGAAGAGGTGCGCAAAGGAGGCAGCATGTCAAGTCGTTATGATGCTGGGCGCTTAGCTACTGGTGGCCCAAAGCTTAGCCTGGGAAACAAGTTTGGAGCACTTCAGGATCAGAGCTGAGGCCTTGGAGCAACCTAAGCTTCTCTGGTGTACATTTACTTCGTTTCTGTTAAAATTGTAAAGGTTTAAAGGAAAGATCTTTTCGTTCTTTTTTTTTTTAAAAATTCTTTTTGGACATTCCTGTTAAAAGCCTGACGGAAATGGTGTCTGTGTCAGCCGACAGTGTTTCATTTTCATTGTCTTGTGTATTTTGCTGGTCTTTAGAGGTGAAGAGACAGTAATGTACATTGCAATTGGTGCCAGAGTATTGGGAACTAGGCTGTGCATCATAACAACTTCTCCAAGGCTTTTGCAATCGTGAATGAATGAGCGCATGTGATTTTATATATAATATCTTATATATTATATATAAAATTTCTGTTGATTGTGTGAAAGTGAAAAAAAAAAGTGAAAGAACTGCCTTGGGCCATCTTCCTATATAAGGTTGCTATTTGCATTAAAAAAATGGTGTAATGTGTAGTCTTTTATTGGACATGTATCCGGAATGGACATGTTACTTCTGATTTTGCAAATGAAGTAAAGATATTTCCAATGTTGATGTGAAATCGTGGAAGACATTTGGTAGGGTTTTACACTCATTGGAAATATGAAGCACATAATTTAAGAGATTCTGAACATAAAGCATTTTACTCCACCTTCAAACCACATGAAGCTATTAAGATGCAAGTGGAATTTGTGTTTTTGGGTGTGCAAATGACATTTGCCCTAAAATACATTAATTTATCTTGCATAGAGAAAAGTTAAAAAGAAAAAAATTCCATTTTGTTAAGCCAATGTGAAATCTTAGTTTTGGTCTTCCAGGTTTGCTCTTATCTGTATTGTTGAAAATGTGCACAGGTGATGAATCTCCAAGAAGTGAGACACGATTACATAAAGCTCATTGTATAATGGAGTATAAATTTGTGCAAAACATTGCAAATTATAAAGATGGTTGTGAAATCTGAATAAACAATCGTCAAAAACTGTTTGTGGATGAATACAAAGGGGAGGAAAATATTTTGCCAGTTCACTGAACATTAATTTGATTGCTAGTAATATACTTTGAGTAGATAGTAACTTGTATACTGGCATTCTACTCTATTTTCTGTCAAGTGTCTTGTCTTAATAAATGAGGCAGAATTCCTCATTCACAGAGACTATACAGTGGGACAAACCCATTTTGTTGTTCGCATGTTTTATCATGCATGCAATAATCAGTCATTGCTAAACATACGATCATGAAATTTGGCATAATCAATGTTGAGAATTCAATCAATTAATTTGAGATGAGAATAATTGTCTGCTTTTGCCATTAGGTTTTGCAGTTTTCCCTTTGAATTAGTATTTTCATTTTCAATGGGAAGTTTTCTAGTTTTACTGGATATTGTTTCAAATAAAAGTATATGTACTCGTGTTAAAAGTAATTTTATTTATGGAAATGTATTTATAACGTGTAATTAATAAATAAAAAAGTATTTGCTATTTGATCTTGAAACAAGTCAATTTGTTCTATTAAATTTTATTGAATTGTGAATATTTTTGTTTTTGTAAACTAGGACAGGTTTGAACTACTGAAATTGAAGAATTTGAAATAGTTAATTTACGGTCTGAAACTAAAACTAGTTGCAAATATTAAATCCTTTGCTTTGTATTTATTCCATTTGTTAATAAGTTCAGTTTGAAGTGTACAAGCACTTTGTTATCGATACTTTTAACCTTTCGGTGTTGTGGGTGATCAGAATCTCAAATTTAAAAAAAAAAAAAATTAAAAAAAATTCCATGTGAGAGCAAATTCAAAAAAACACAATGTACTTGGATTAAAATAAATGTGATGTAAACCAAAGGTAAACTGCTACAGCACCCTGTGAGTAATTTCACACCCAAGTATTTCGAGAAATATTAAAAGGAATAACTCGCTCGCGAACATCATTCACATTTGTTTTAATCTTAGAGTATGATTCAGTAACTCAAGACAATCTCAAATTTTATGTGAAAATGTTTTCTAAATTTGCTCAAATGCCTGTCATTCACAACCACATATTTTAAGTGAATTGCGTTGTTGCTATTGTCACCTGGAAGGCCAGTTAAGAGAAAGAAGTTGAACAGAATGGGAATTAAACAGTGGACTTCTATTAATTTTTATTTTTTATTTCAAAATTTTTTAGTTATTTACAGATTCTTAATAGTGTAAATATAATTTCTACTATTGAAATATTAGTCTTGTAATAAAATGGATGACAAAGCGTGTAGCTGATTTTTCTCTGTGGCATGGGCTTGTTAAATTGAGTTTTTTAGTTCAAATCATGTTTTAGGCTAATGAACATGGCTGCACATAGCTGGAAAAATTATTCTGAGAAGATTCATACAATGAAAAATGTTGATTCTTAAATGTTTTTAATATTATATAAAGGTAAAGGTCAGGATTCAACCAATAGTCTGTGACAACCTGTAAGATGCCATCACCAATGCCATGATTTTATTATTAGACAGTAAGAAGGTGGGCTGGCAGATGTAAAGTCAACACCATAAGTTGACGGTTTTAGTTAAATTGTTGTAAATTTATTTCTATGTTCTTTGTAACTTGAATCAAACTGGGTCAAATATAACATCTTTGAGAGTGAGTATTTTTATTAGTTTCTGTTGTAGATAAGTAGCAAAATCCACATTGTGTTACATTACAATGGTAAAACTCCTGTATTAAGTTTAAACTTTGTATTAGGTAGTGAAATGTTATCTTGGTCATAGCTGGTGGTATGGTTGAAGTAGAAACATTGTCACTATTCCCAACTTGTTTCACTCGAGATAACTTCACGTGTTGCCACATTCTTATATTATTACATGAAGTGGTTGTGGATTATTTCATTCTATGAATTTTGTTGAAAATCAAATTCTTGTCCTTATAAAGCTATGACACATGAGCATTGCGTTGATGCACAGCTCCTAACCTGTGCACACGAGTTACTTAACATGTGTCATAGATGAACACTATCTTCTGCTGAAGGGCACATGAATACTCTTGGCGACATGTGTTTTCTACCCTCAGCATTGCCGAAGCGTGCTTGACTTCTGCAAGCTGTGGGTACACCGCATGTCACAAAGTGTGCTAGTGTCGTTTCACATTAGATGGTATTAATCTATGACGCATGTGCAGTGACTCATGCGCAGGCATTAACATAGCTAATGTCATCAGCGTTAGGTGATGTGTCTCAATGCAACAGGCCACAGCAACTACAATTAACAAAATACATATTAGTCCTGTTAGTTCACAAATTGTTGTTATAAGGTGTTCAAGAACCGTTGTTTTCTCAATATGTCATGAATAACACGTCACTCCTGCTTTATTATTTCATGACCAATTTATTGTACGGCTTATTATAACACCGGCCTTGTGTGATGCCAGTCGCGGATATTTTAATGTTTAAAACTTTATTTATGCTTTGTTGTAACATCCAAATTTTTATGAATGTTAGTATAGGCACACAAACAGCACAATGGACGTTGTGTCCCATCGTATTGGTAAACTGCAACAAACACATTTTGAATGTGTGAAGGCCTGTGTCACACGCACTTTCCATTGAGGCCTGTCATACTACGCATATGTCAACCATGCCAGCGTGCGTCGATGCCTGGGCACTGTTTCTTAAGCAAAACAGCACACGAGAGCTCTTAAAGATGTGCATTGCTGCCAAGGCACGTCATGTGTTGAAAGCTAGAAAATGCAGTGTTATCTTGACTTGTGTTGAAGCTTGAGCTGTAGGCAAGTTGTGAAAAGTGCTATGCATAAGCATAAGATATTATGTGAATCTATTGACACTCATGAAGTGACTCATGTTCAGAAATCGATGCAACCCAAGTCTATTATTACGCAACACCCAAAAAGCGTGTGTGCGCCTCCGGTCTTCATTTTTGCAGTTGGCTCACTTGTCCATTTCCGATCACAGAAAGTTGGGTAAAATCTGTCAGTTCAAGTATATATTTAATTTTTTGTTGCATTACAAAATTAGCGTTAATTATTATTAATCAGAACTCTTAATGATTCATGTAAATATTGGAAAGAGACTCCAGAATTCACAGCATTTACTGAAGTACTCGTAGGTGCATTAAAAACATAAAAAGCACATAATTTTTTTATTTTAGGATTTCCAGAATTTCCTAGAGGGAACTATTTAAGAATTGTGCCAATCAGTTTGCTGTATCGTGAGTAATCAAATGAGCTATTGATCACCTCTGTCAATACTGCAAGTCACCTAAAACACTTTTGTGACTTTAAATAAAAACACGTTTGATAGAGAAATTTTTCTGGAGAAATCTGGGGGGTGGGAGAGGGAATCAGTTTGTTATCAGAAGAATGACTTACTTCTCTTGATTAGTAGACAATTGGTTGAACTGTAGGCTGGATGCATGTTACTCTATATGAGGATGACATGGATGAGATTGAAGTACTGATAGGAAAACAGTCTCTTCTCATTTAAGATTTAACTATATTCTGATTTAAATGTAAGGTAAATTGACACTGATCCGATGGGACAAGTCTGGAACTTTAACTCACGTTTTTGATATTGAAGCACCAGATTTGATGACTGCAGGCAGCTGATCAAAAGTCAATTGGCCCTACATTTAAAGAAGAGAATAAGTATGGATTTTGTGCTTTTGAAATATTTATTTTTGAGAAAGTTAAACCCCTGGCCTCTGGTGCAGGTAACTTTTTATTATTGTATATTATCATTGCTATTAATTAAATTCTTTAACTCACTATTCTTAATAACCTTCAATGACAAAGAATTCCAGGAAGTTGATTTCGTACAAAAAACTGAATAAACTTGCTCTGGTGTAGTAAATGTTTAGTGGAGACCCTTTCAACTTAGTTGCATTGGGCACAACTGCTTACAAAGCACAATCTGAGATTGAACTTTTTCTTTTCTTTCTAATTAGATTGTTGTAGATATAAGTATCATTAGAATGAAATCAATTTTTTTAACAATTGTGTAGTTTTATAATAATTAAAGGAATACAGTAGTATCTAGAAATTCAAAACAACTTCATTTTCAATACACTTTTGTTTCTTGTAAGCCCATTTATAGGGACTAACGTTCATGGCTTGATTTTTTTATTGAATACACTACGTGTGAGAGGTTTTAAGAAAAAAATATGATGCAGACAACTGACAAATTAAACAAAGCAAGTAATATTTCCATTCAATCTTCAAGAAAATAAGCTACTGTTAGTGCTATTTCATAGTTAATATCTGATAGCTAAAGTATAGTGTTATTTCTTTGCTAGTAATTTAATTTTATATGAAAAGGTAAAATATTTGAGTTAGATTAAACCAGTTTTCCAACTATTTTCCGAACCATAATTCACCGTAGAAGAAGAAAATATTACCAACGCTTCTAAGTCCGTTTCAGTTAATTTTATATAAAATATCAAAGTAGTGCTGCATATTATCTGTACCTAATTTATATTTGTTTTATCAATTAAAATAAAGTAGAAATTAATCAAACTACAACCAAGGGTAATAAAATTATTTTTTTTAAAATAAACAATTAATAATACATAATTTAACAATTATTTGTAACTTTAAACTTCATGTAGTGTTTCAACTTAGACATAAGTCACAGATCGCCACGTTCAGTGATGTTTGTGAGTTCCTCCTTTTTGACAGTAAATTAGCTACTGCTCTGAATCCACACTCAGCCAGTAGGATGGAGGTACATGAAGTGATTAAAAATTTCTCTATTGCCCACAATCCAGGGTAGAGAACTGGTATTGATGATTTAATCCAAAGCTCGTGGTATCTATGTTTGAATTTTACTTCGAGTTCTTCGGTAATAGTTCTAAGAGTTCCTCTTCCAAATTAATGGATCTTCAGTATGTACATTTTCAAAAGGATCTAAAACCCTACTCGATATAATCAGGTTTAAAATATCTTTGAAGCAATGTAAACACAACATAAACTTCGTAGTGTTGGGAGCAAGTATATCTTGTTTTGCAGAGGCGGCTTAAATAGTGGGAAAATGTGTGTATTCAACTTTTAGACACTTCGATTTCGTTTGAATAGATGTTTTCCCGCAAAAACAGCTGTGGCAGTTTTTGTTTTAATTAAATTAACTAGTCACTTTACAATTGTATATTAATATTTTAAACAGGCCTGTTAAAGAACCGATATCATTTTTTCGATAGAATCAGTGTCGTTACAGTGCCCCTGACAAGGATATCACAGGTTCAAGCATCGACGGAGGGATTTTCGACATGCTTGTCAGCTAGGTCAAATTCATTCGGTCTGGAGGAGAATTCTAACGGTCGGCTGCTCTCATCGGTAGTTTTCCATGGTTTCTCCGAACCCCAGGCGAATGCCTGAGCAGTACCCTACCGAAAGGGCACTGTCTTTCCTTCAGCTTCCTTGTCCTATCCTCACCCCTTATACACATTTAATGCACTACACTACCACGCATGCCAGAAGATTGGAGCTTGTCGCGGCTGGGACTGTGCCTCGCTGGTGGGAGATACCTGGTTAGGGGAAACCCCGATAACCGACGGTAGGTCGGCGCCGGAGATCATTCAGCGGGGTAGATCGCCGCCACGTCCCGAGGAAGACATGCACTGCACTTACGGAACTAATAACCTTAGCAGTTGACGCGTCCGGAATCGTCAATCTATCGATGGAATCAAGTTTCCAAATAGGTGCTGCAATGGGCGCACGCGCTTACTCTCTAGTCATTTCAAGCTTCCATTTTCTTGTCAAAACTTGTGTGGCGTCTTCTCGCCAGCAGCAAAAGGCGTTTGCGTCCCCCTCGTAATAGTACTCTCTGTAACACCCTCTCCCGCAAAATCGCCTGGATCGCTGCGGGCATTGCACGAAAAATGATCCCGACTGCTGCCGGTTTTGCCTCCCGTCACGTGAGCAGTATTTATGTACTATATAAATATTTTTTAAATACATTGTAAATACATATTTCAAAAATAATCCGGTGTTGTTGGGAGAGGTACGCTACGGTCGCCTCTCTTGAATGCCTGAATATTCACCCCTGGATTCAGTGCAGCCCCCCATGAAAGACTCCCATCGCCCACTGGGGGGGGGCGTTGACAATCAGCCAACCTTACATGATGTGAATACAACAAAAGTTTTGAGTTATTTAATTATACAATTTTTCAATGGGAGAAATTGCTAAAATTATACTACTTAAATAGCTGCTAGTGAATACATAATCAAAAGTTTTAGAGACTGTGATCTGTTTGAAAGCGCAGATTCGGATCTCCAAGTAGCAAACGTTTTTTTCTTTACATTTTTTACAAGATAGAACCCAATGCAATGAATTCTATGGCAGAAGAACCATTTTCATTCAAACATTTGACTTTTCTAAAGCTAAAGATGTGTTTTGTTTCGAATCACACATGGTGAAGGGTTTTCATAAGTTTGCTGAAATGTTTGTGATACAAATTGTAATATAATATTATGTAACTTTCAAATAACATGAGAAAGTATATGCTATAGGAGCATCTAACATCTATTTACCATTGTGTTAACTTCCACTTTGTGCACTTGAATTTTGTCCACCAGTGAATAATAATTTATCGTAAGGAAAGACTGACTGTGTCTTTCTTTGCAATAAATTGTCTTTCCTCTGTTGCGAAAAAAAAATGATATAAGAAAATAAATTTACACAAGAACATTTTGATTTACTGAATTTAAGACCAAAATCAACATGAGTTTTGAGAGTTGACTAAATTTTAGGAAAAGCATTAAAAAATATCAGCAAAATGTTTTTGGGTCACAATCTGAAAACCTTTTCACTTGTGCCCTTATATTAATCCCCCTTAAAAATTGACTATTTTAATGACAACTTGTAACATCAACAACCAGGACCTTTATACTAATTTTCAAGGTGAAGTGAATGAAAATGTTATACTTGCAGAAAACTATGTGGTGGGCATAAAAATTGAAACTTAAGCTAATGTGAGGTGTTGAATCCCAAAAATAAATGTTCTCCTCTTTTTAAGCTTGCATTTTTGCATTCAAAATAAATTTTAACTTTGATAAAATGGTAGTCACCCTAATTCACATCATACTCTTTCTATAGATTTTCTACTTCAAATATTACCACATGAAAGAAATGATCAGAGAAAAGTTAAAGTTACTGATAATTTTGTTGTTTCAAGGTTAATAAAATAAGGTTTTCATTTAATAAGTTTTATACTATAATTTCTGTTGTATTCGTTTCAGAATGGTAAAATATGTTCAAATGGATATCTTAATAAAATTCATTTTAAATTATTCACACGATCAATGAAGTACATGCTCTAAGAAAGTAGATTACTTAGCAATAAATAAAACAAGAGGCAGAGAATATTTGAAAGAATATTGAAGGTTTTGGTAAGAAGAATTTTATTACTATTTACATTGCATACATTTCATGAAAACTGATGTTACTTCATTGATAACTGTACACATACCAGTGAAACTAGCAAAAAGCAGTGACCTGAGAGGATGTGTCATCAAGAAAAAGAGTTAAATTTTACACTAAATATGTAAATGTTTTAATTTTATTTAGGAAGATGTTGAAGGTACAAAAACTACATTGAACCAAATTCAAGATGTACAATTTATAAGAAAAAGTATATGAAAATATTCCATTAGAATAGGATCTGATCGCAAAGAGAATTACCACTAGATAACACACAAGATGAAATGTCTTCAGCAAGTCATGGTGTGAATAAATGTTCAATAAAAAATGTTTCCTTTTTTGAAACTTTGGACAGTGATTATTAAATTGAATCTAATAACAGAAGAAAATAAAATATTTAAATAAAGCGCTGCCCTGAAAAGTATTAGATGTGTTCCGTACAAAACTCAATGTATTTTAAACACTCAAATTATTTTCAATATAATTTCATTTTACATGACTGCAGAACATATTAATGAAGGGGGAATTTAATTCTCGGTAATAAAGGAGGCTTATTTTCAATAATATAAAAAATGTTCACCTTCATGTGTCACAATTACCAAAAATGCACTTTTTTACATTTTATTTATTTAAATCACTTATAATAAGAATGTTAAACAATTTGCCCTGTCATTCAATGCCTTGAATATCCTTCTTAGCGTCATAAGAAGAATGACTGTTCTCTCCCTCACCGTATCGCTTTCCATGAGACCCATAAGAGGAATATTCTTCTAAAAATGGTTCATTCAAAAGATTTGGTCTAAATTTTTTTATGAAATACACCCAAGCATCTATTCTTTTATTTTCCGACTGTACTTCTCTTATTTCTCGGACATAGAAGTCTGGGTGTTCTTCTAACACGTCGAGATGTTTCAACATAGATTCATCAACCTCATATACTTCTCCGATCACGTGCTGAAACACACATTCAAGAGCACAGGTATTAGGCAAAATGTCAGCGCTACATCCTAACAATATATACACACAAAGAGGGTTTTTACATGTCCCTGGCCGGGCACATCCAGCAAGAAAGGAATATTGTATCTTGAAGCAATAATTAATGGATATTTTTCAACGGTTTGTGCTTTGCAAATAAATCTGGAAAATCCTTCACTTTTGTCGAGAATCCAGTAGTGATTCGGTTCATTTTGCTTCAAAGTCCCATACACGAACACTTTAGTAACATTCATTCCAGTTCCGTTTCTTTTCTTCAGTGTTCCGCAAAACGTTCTGTTCAGTTCTATACCTCGTGAGCTACGGAATGAGAGTTAAGTGCACTTAATTTAACCTTATATAATTATTGTTGATAGCTTACCTGACGTATGTAAATCTTGCAGCCAATCAGAGCAAATTATATAAATCTGGGAAAATCAAATGTCATCATTGGGTACGTCGCATCTCTATAGTTGCTATTATACGCGCACGTGTTCTTGAGACCCAGCATACATCTCCCCACTCCTTTTCTAACATTAGTTGAATCGAGAATAAATTATAGCCACAAATTTTGTTCACGAACTCTAATAACCAGAAGTATTTACTTCCGTCTAACAAAAAATAGTTTGCTTCGATAAACGAGCTACAGATTTCATATAATAGCCCTGTCAATAAATTAATACCCCCCCACTCCCCTCGCATCTGACGAAATGAGGGCTCAAGAAAACTTGGGGGGATAATACCACCTTTTTTCTGGCAACGAATCACAAAAGAGCTTTTAATCAGCCGACGTATTCCCACTGATTGGCTGCCTATGACATTTTGCTGGAAACTAATATTTCAGTGTTGCCAGGTACGTTCCCTATGCATTCTTTAATCCTGATTGCCAATTATCTAAAATGTGTGGCTAATGTTTTTGGGCTTCTTCGCAACATTTTATACTGTTCTGGTAACTTACAAAACGAAGCACACGTCTCGCAAAATTAACAAACTCCAGTTTTTATCAGTCATCAAACCTCCAGTCATCTGAAGTGAGAGAATACGCAACATTGGGACCACGTGACTATGTTACGCAACGTAATGTGGGTGGGCAAGTGACAGCGGAGATCTCGCCAGGGACAATGTAGTGAGCATATAAGGATAATAATAAGAATCACCATGATTTGTGCTTAACATATTTGAAGTTACGTTATTTTTACTATCTCGTATACATACGAATATATGGAGTAGCATATACGTAGCATAGGAAAAGTTACGTAATGCAACGGAAAATCGATTTCAAGGTTTTAATGAAAATACACGTTTTGGGGTCCCCAGATATCGAACAAGTGTTGTTTTTTTTTTTTTCAAAACGTCCGTCCATCCGTCCGTCCGCCTGTCCGTTTGTAAACTACTAGCGCCTAAACCATACGTAGGATTTTTTCCAAAATGGATATTCCCTGTCGATCTCGATCCACTCGAGGCGCTGCAATTTTGAAAAACTTTCTTCAAAATTTGGGGGTACTTTACATGAAGCCCTGAGACATTTTCAATTTTTTTCTTTACATTTTACTACACCATTAATATACACATTTCCAGCGATTTGTAAATATTATTGCATTTGATTGGAAGTACTTCAAATGACTTCCAGTAAAATTTTTCGAAAACTGAAAACTTTTTTGTGAAAAGAACCTTCAAATTTTTCACCGAACATTTTCAAAATTTTCTCAAAAACGACCCCAAAGTTTTACTTTCAATTTCTTGTAATAATATACTAAAATATGCTTACAAAGGTGGCATAAGTCCGAATCGGTGTTAAGTCTGAATTTTCGAAAATTTGAAACTTTTCTATCGTCATCCTACAACTACAAAATTGAAGATAGAGAGTTTTCCTTCAAATAAATTTTGTTCTTCATAGTGAGTTCTTTCGTAATTTACATTGTTGAAAATCTTAGTAGTTTTCGTGCAATATGTGCAATTTAAAAAAAACAACAGATTTTCCAAAAAACGGTTCCAAATTTTTTCTTAAAACTTTTGTTAGGGATAGTGCTAAATGTACCCTACATGACATGAACATCAGTTTGCTCCAATCTTTTGTTTTCAAAAATGAAACAAATGTATTTTTTCACTTGTGTCTCACGTCATTAATATTTACATTAGAGGCATTAAATAATGTCAGATAAAGTTTCTCGAAAACTCAACAATTTTCTGTGAAAACTAGCTCAAAATTCCGTATTTTCAGAAACGCCCAAACGCCATTTTCTTAAAAACGACTTCGAATCCTTTCCTCAAACCTTTTCAACTGATAGTGTTAATTACACTGTAGTGAACTTTAATATGATATTAAGTTAATTTTGGAGAATTCTTTTATTTTTTAATTACTCAAACATATATTTTTGAAATATCTCTCTGGCCGTTGATATGCACATATTCAGCAATTTGTGAACACTATGGCATTCATGAGTTAAAGCAATTCAAATGAATTTCTTTCGCAAACTCAACACTTTCTGTGAAAAACAGCTTCAAATTTCGTATTTACAGTAGCTATTAAACAGCATTTTCTTAAAAACGGCTCAACATTTTTCAATGAAAATTGCTATTTAGAACGAGGTTTTACTCTTCTTTAAGATTCTTAAAGTAATATTTCGATTCTTGTATTAGAAAACAGAGAAGCTGAAAAAAATCTTTTTAAAAAAAATGTACTTAGGGCGGGGATAAGCTGCTGGCAAGATTATGTGACAAGTTCGTATAGAGAACAAAGGAAATAGAAAACTAATACGGGAAAGTCTATGCCACTTTAGCACCACTTGTTAATGTGTGTATAAAAACTCAGCACTACACACAAATGTCTCAATATTCATAATATAAAGTGGTAATGTTTAGCGTATTAAGAACAGAATGAGTGTTTAGGTTAATTCCCCAAAACCCTTGTATTCACTTTTTCACTCCTTCTTTTAAAAAAACACTTGTAGCCATAAACGTGTGTGCGGGAAAGTTAAATCCGTTTATTGTGGCATAAAGAATAAAATAAAATATTAGAAAATATTCTCGTCAATCAAAAATAAACTATTATTACTACGAAAATATGCCATAGAAGAAGAATTACACACAATAACAGTATATTAATATGAAAAAAATTACACGTACGATATTTTAAAAAGTATTTTAAGGATCATGTATATTCTAAAACTGGGCGAATCAACCACTGAACATCCTCGTTGCTTTAGTGTAAGCTGGTGTAAGCTTCGAAGTTAATGATTTACTTTAAAATTTGCAATCATCAGTAGTTGTAGCAACAGAAGGGAAGATGTGATAGCTAATGACAGTTTGTTCCCATAGTGCGGTAACATTGCAGAAATTGCGAATGGTTGTTGTTCAATTCCGGTGTGTAAAATGGAATTCGGAATACAACCTTGTACCAAGTTCTGCAGTTCTGAACAGACAGATTTCTATGAAATATTGTAAAAGGTAAGAAAGTGATTGATAAAAGATTTGTATGTTTGAGGCAATACGAAGTATTTCCTGCGATGGGTTCAGCCAGTTCAAGTTCTCGTAGAACGGTGTTACTTGATTGAAGCGGCTTTAAAAGTCGGTGGTTTACATAGTTTTGCTGAGGCGGTTAACAAACACCGAGTGAACGTTTTCGGCTTAGCCGAAGGTTTGTGTATTTGTAGTTGTGTTGCAGTTCGCATTTCGCGTTTTCTGCTATGTGTAAATGACTGGCGTGGGTTCGCGTCGGACCTTAGTCAATAACGAAATCGGCTTTTGTGTTGCACTACGCCCTCAGAATATCTTAGGGGAGTGCTTGTCTTCTTTGTCCAATAGTGAGGACGTGTCGAGCTAATTGTTTTAGCGTTGCCGGATAAACGAAAGCCGTCTCAAGCATTGAGTGAAGGACTCGATATCAAGTTCCTTCCTCAGTACTTTCAACTGTTTTCGAAACGGAGAGCGTGCTACAAGCCGTAGTAGCTGTTGCTCAAGTGTATCCTTGTACTTCTGTGCTGTGGTCCAGCACGTTGCCGCAGCGTAGGTGGCCACAGGCCGGCAACACGTTTTATATGTTGCCAAGTGCAGTTCCAAGGGGACTGTAGGTTGTGGGTGCAGTTCCAAGGGGACTGTGGTCCACTGAGTTGACCACAATTCCCTGCGCAGACCACAATTCACTGCGCAAACAAGTGTCCACTGCACTGCTGTTTACCGCGAAGCACTTCACAGCTCAGCTTCCGCTGCATGACTGCTGTTCACCAACTGCACCACTGTTCACTGCAATGCACACTTTACAGCTCAGCTTCCGCTTCAGACACACTGACGGACTGACTGTTTACAACTTGACTGATTACATAAACTGACTCCGCGCGCAGCGAATTACGGCAGGTGATGCAATATTCGTTACAATTCTATAACCCCCTTTTGCAGTTTTGACCGCTGCGAGACATGCAGGAAGAGAGTCAATTAGGTTCTGGATGGTTCCGACAAGGATGTGGAGCCATGCCTATTCCAGTGCCGTGGCCAGCTGCGCTAGGTTCCTCGGCTGCGGATCCATGGCGCGAACAGTCCGATCGAGATGTCCCACAGATTGTGGATTGCGTTTGGTGGCTAGGGGAGTACTCAAGGATGGCTGCGTACCTCTGTTGATCCATCGTGCCTTCCAGAATGATGAAATCATCCAAAGAATGCCACAAAAACGTTTGCCTTACCGTCACTCTTTCGCCTCCGGCCTGGAACGGTCGGCGATTGTTGAAGGGAGTTTGCGTTCAGACATTTTATTGTTCATATTGTGACAGTAATCAATTTATTGACTCGGGAAACCATAAGATCCGGGTCACGTAAGCCAAGTGCGAAGTGCGCAGTATGGGCTTGTCCATCCGGACGCCTGCGGTGAACCGACGGCGCCAGCCTGGCGGCTCATGGAATCCGCAAGAACAGGATGCGCCTGTGGTGGGCCATTCCCTGCGGATCCTCGCACGCGCCCTACTGGGCGCACGAGCCTACTGGGTTTGCACACGGCACGGCTGTCACGTGACCCGCGACCATATAACCTTAGACCGGGCCCTCTCTGTACGCTCTGTGTGCTCCCTGCGTCTGCGGAGCTCCTCGTCACGACCTCTGAAGGAATCGCTCCGTGCCCTGCACGTTGCTCGAGGCTGCGTAGATCACGAGTGGGTAATGTGGAGAACTTGCATTAAGGTCAAATGGCGCTTGCCAACTTGTAAAATGTAGTCAGGGCCCTCAGCCCATTTCATGTGCACATGTAATCATCATACTTAATAAACTAGGTTAAGAGAAGTGAGTGAGTATCAGTGAACTTCCAAGACCTCGGGAAACGTCTTCCCGTAAGTTGTAAGCAGTCCCGATCCCTCTCAGCGAGTTGCTCTCCTCACCCTGCTCATCCCTTTGATTAATCACCTCCAAGCCCACGACAATATAGTAACGACCATCTATCTGATGGAACAGAAAACGTGAACAGAAATCTGAAAAGGCCACCTGTCGCCACTTAGTGGGCGTGCAAATGCCAGCCTTTGTCGCCGATAAAGGGCTGTCGCCCATTTCAGCATAAGTGCATGAACCAGGCGCCTGCTACAGAGACCCGTATATAGCAACGCTCATTGAACGGTTGTTGAGGAGACCCAGTTGGCAACCCCTTGGTTCACTTGGGCGGTCAATTGCTCTACCTTTGCATGTCTATCCGCCCGTACATATCTCCGCAGCCGTCGCTCCCCCGTGTGTGGCCCGTGGAGCGCCCCATTTGCCTCGGCGACGATTTTTAATATCTTCATTGTGCCATGCACGGTATGTTCTAATCACGGCACACGAAAACTTAACAAACTTTGCCGTTTCAGAAATGCCTCCGCTCTTGGCACGTAAACCAATGATCATGCTGTTTTAGGCGTCCGGTAAATGGCCCCGCGTCTGCATTGCGACAACTACTGCAGTTTTCTGCTTCCGCACCGCTCGCCACGCAGCACAGTTCGTGTGGCCGCGAGGTGCATTGCTGCTACACTTACCTGCATTAAAGCCATCCATATCCTTTCGAAAATCTATGGCTGATTTGTAATATAAAAGAAAACAACACCAGGAAAGACAATGACCGTTCGGCGCGCTTTTGGCGTTGTTTACCGCAATTTTCTTGTCAGTAATGACGTTGTACCGGGGGATAGACTACTGCAGCATATCTCTCGGGCGCTTGTTCGTGGCCGTGGGATCCGGCTCGTACAATGTTAAATTTATAACAATGCCGTTATCTGACGCGTTTAATTTTGAATAGAAATTTGCAGCTAAATGTTGAAAATGCTCTTTGCGGAGCGGTAGATTGAAAGCTAAATGAAGTGTTTTCCTCCACTGTTAGTGCTGTCATCTGCCGTCTTTCGGGTGTTATTGCACATTTATGTGGGACATAGACGGTGGTCACATGAATGCCAGTGAACTGTGTATAACTATAACACTCGACATAGTAATCATATCCATCGGGTGTCAGTATCAGCAACTCACTACAAAAAAGTGTTTAACGGTGATGTGTGTCTTTAAACCTTGTTAATATGCAACCCTATAAGTTTGTTAAGTGCACTTGTACCTACCTGTAGGTTAAGAAATTTAGAATCCTTAGCAACGGGTTTTAACATCCTTAGTAACCTAAATAAACAACCACTCATTCATCGCAAGTCAACATTATTATGAAAAAATCACATGGTAATTTACAAGACAAATTGTAATCAAAGAAACGCATTATTTTTGGAGATGATCATTATTAATTATAATGTTATTAATTGCGCAATTTGAAAAATAAATATTTGGTAAAGTAATTAATGTCTTGTTGAAATAGATATATCGCAAGCAATACCCAACAATATTGATTATCGTGCCGTAACAATACAATTCATGTCTTTTATATCGCAGTAATGTAAATTTTCTCAAAAAAGTTGAGATTTTATGGTGACCGATAAAACGCTGAACATACCACGAAATGTTAGTGTTAGTACTGCCTCGTCCAAATTAAAAATCTCGGCTTTGACATCGGCAGTACTAACACTCATAACATTTGTAGGTATGTTAATAACTATTAACTGTTTTTGACCTTAAATAAATAAATAAAATAAAACTCCGCGATTTAACGGAACAACTAATAGACCACAAATAGCCCTTCTAAATTAATAAATTACCCGAGCATGTTCAAACTTCCGCTAGATTCTAACTAAAAGTTCCACCTAACAATGGAAATAGTTTCATTGTTGCTGAGTAACTCATTGTTGCTCATTCTCAAAACTTTTGGAGTGACCTCCGTAGTAATGGTTTACGGAGGGTACCGTAATTATTGAATTCTATTACTTGTGGAAAGTTATGAGAAGTTGTAAAGTGGATTTTGGATGTCAACAGTGAGAAACAGGATTTTACGTTCAAAATTTGTGTGCGCAGATATATGCAAACATTCATATATATAGAGCGAAGATATACGCAAAAACGTAGTAAATGCACCCTTGAACAGCTCCCCCATCTCCACTCACCGCACATTCTCCCGGATTTTTAATTTGATGTACAGTAGAATCTACCAACAACCAGGCCAAATTTAGAAACTCCGTGATATATTTAACTCGATTGGCTTACTTTGTCTAGGCAACTTATTCTCACGCGCAGTTGATTAACTATGCGGGGCATAAGATTAATTTGTTCTATATTTGAGGCGACATCACTGCTCATGTCTAAGCTTCTGATTGTTTCTTTGATGGTCACGGTGTAAGCATGTCCTAGTAATTTTTCGCCGTTACAAGTCATTTTAAGTCAAATGATGGCTCTGGTTTCACCACGTTCCCAGGAACAATTAACCAACTATTTTTATTTTCAATATAGGTAAAAACTACAAGGAAATGTTACCGCATCTGCTGTGATAAAAACATTATTGACAGCCTATGATAATGACAATTTCAAGTTATGGCACTGCGAAAATTTGACTTCATCACAAATTAGAGCTTTTAAATTATATGACAAACATTTTGAAGTATTGTACGAGCACTGCTTCTGATTTATCAGTATTACATGTTTTACCACACTTACTAGGGTGTTTATTCATGGTAAATTCCAGTCGTGTACTACACTATTTAAAGACAAAAATTTATTTCTATGAAAGTTGTACAAATATTCAAGAAAACTTGGCACATGTTATTGTTAGAATTAGGTTGTACATACAAGGATTTCCGTTCACTAAATTCATTGTCACTGACCGATTTCATTTGTAAATGAACTATGGAACATTTTTAAATGAACTATGGAACAAATTATCATAGGTAACAGTAAGAATGCTTGGGAAATTTTCAATAAATCCCTGACTCGCGACGCAGAAGGGAATTTATCTAAGAATTTCTAAAGCATTCTTTCTATTACCTATAATAATTTGTTTCGCAAAATAATGTTCCATTGTTTGTTTAAAAATGAAAGTTATAGGAATATTCCACTAATGAAATTACGTCCAACAGAGTTCCAGAATACGCCAAATAGTGAAAATAACTGAAATCATGTTCAAATCAAAGAGGTTATGTTATTCGTACAAGGTTTATTGCACATCAACACAGCGATCGATACATACCGCCTCCTAAAATCGATGAAGCGCAGCTTATTATTGGGCAATAGGGAGGGAATGTAAGAGAAATTCGATAGAAAGAGATAATTTTTTTTAGATACATCGCCCTGATTGGGGCATTTTATATGCATAGTTAAACACTATTGTTTTTAATTTCACTAGTGGAATAATCTAGATAGTTTGTATGTCTAACAGTATGATGTTCATATGTCTATATCTGTAATCTCCAAGAATAACTTAACTTCACACTTACATCCAGAAATAAATAATCATATACATTTCACATTCTTATATTTAAATTAGAGATTTGCATCTGTATTATTCTGAGATTTCTTTTCTTTTTTTTCCGGATTCCAATCCAACAGCTGAAGGAATTCGTCCTCTGTAAATTGAATGAGATGGCTGGCCTCCAGATGAGCCTGCAAGGAAAGAATATTATTACATTTATGAAAGCGTTCTGTTGTGCTTTTGATTTTGAAGCTTAATCTCTTAGTGAAGAAAAGACTATTTCATATCCAACAATAACAATATCTACATAATTGGTTTAAAATATTTCACATCTATCTGTATAAAATTGAGATAATTTACTAAATTCAAAAGCGAGGAATCTAAGCCAATAATATAACTATAAAAGCAAGATAACTAAGTTAATATTTTTCTCTAAGAAATAGTTTTTAAGTTTAATAATTTATGTTTTCTAATAGTGTATTTTGAACACGATAATTACGAATACAAATGACAGGCTAAGTTTAGCTCAGTGGCAGCGGTGCCACTGTCTCTGCAGCGACTTGACTGGACGGACCGTGTTCGAGTCGCGACATTGGCGGATTTTCGACACTAGTTTGATTGAATTCGACCGCTGCCTGTTTGGAGAAGTGTAGAAGCCGACTGTTCTGATCGGTAATTTTCCGTTATTTCTCCGATCACAACCAGACAAAAATGCCGGGGCATTACCCTAACAAAAGAGTCACAGAACGCGCGTGATCGCATCCTTTATCGTAAAAAACGAAAAGCCGTTCTAATCGTATCTAATAGTCTACAATGCCCCTGCCAAGTTTGCAGTGGATCAATCAGGTTCATTTGAGTTTCTGACGTGTTTCCTATTTCTAAATGTAAACTGATTTATGGCATTCTCTCGGTCCTGTGTACTGATTCATTTCCGTTTGACATGAAAATATAAAGGGAGGGTCGAATTTATGAGGGACGGGATCTTGTCCTCATAAAGGGCTTGATGGCTCCTTGTGGAAATGCATTAATTTGAACTTGCCCTAAATTTAATTAATGTATTTCTAGGTACCTCGTCTCCGACTGCCGTATTTCGAAAATTTCAGCGTAGCGTATTCTTTCCTCCAGTTGCAGTAGAATACATTTAGCGGTTCTTCATCACCCGCAGTTGAACACAGTTTTCTAAATAAAATCTAATGTATCGTCCTTGTGCGTTCAGTAGTACTACTTAGGTAAATGAAAAATGGGCGATGGTATTTTGTCACGCACATAACGAAGATGAAAATGAATACGAACTATATCGAAAATAAATTATAGATAAACCATAACAAAAAAGTAACGAAAATGATTAAAAAATCCAGGGTAAGATAAAAATAAATAAATTTAAAATGGGAAATTAAATGACGACTGAAGATATGGAGGGACTTCGCAACAACATTAAGGAATATGACCCTTTGTACGGAATGAAAATGGCTTTTCTTGGACGCGTAACATAGCTCAAGGTTTTGTACACTCATTTGGTGCTGGTATCAGTACAGAGGACACAGAAAATAATTTTATCTAACAGAGTAAATACAATGTCACACATTAATAGTGATGAGAGTATGAATGAGAGTAACAATGAAAGTGAACCTAGAAACAGTCAAAATCAATACTTGTCCTGATTTCAACATATCAGTTCACAGTTTACAACAAATCTGTAACACAAACAACATCCGTGGCTACACTTCTTGGGACAAGAAAAAATATTGAGATTAACTAACTACTTCAGCACACCATACGATTCTAGAAATCTACGTGATATGACACTTTCACAACATAAATCGTTCTGCCAAACAAACAAAATCTGAGGCTATTCCAACTATACCAGAGACACTCTTGGTTAAATCTGGTGTTAAACCATATCCACTCATACAACTACCTTCTTATCACGAGGACAATGAGAATACTAAAATTAAATTTTTAAAGAGAGAGAAAATTAAGGTGTAAGAAAGAAGAAGCCTTTAAGAGTAGGCTCGAAACATGGAAATTTCAACAAAGAAAACCATCCGGAGATCCTGTTACCACATTTTTAAAACGAATAACTAATGCTATGATTAAGAATTCGTAAGTTCTCTTCATAAACAAAACTGTATTAAAGTTAATGTTGAACTAACGTGTGATTACAAGAAAGGGGAATAAATACAAGAGTTTCAAGTTAAAACCCAAAATGAAAGAATCTTTGAATCAACAAATTTAATAAGATATATAAAACAAATTAGAAAACATTTACTTCGAGAGATGAGTGGGTTCCAAGAAGAGGTTCTGGTTGGTCTCTCCATAAAATTAAAACGCTTGAATTAAGACTTAATTAATACAAACCTTATGCAAGTAATTCTCACTTTGATCTTCCAAATTTCATTATAGCGAAAAATGCTGTACTTGAGATTAAAAATAACATAAACAATAAAAATAACATAAAAATAACAAAAATAACATTAAAAAAGTGCTTTCTATATTGTTTAAAAGTTTATTTACATCCTGTTTCTCGTGATCAAAATCCTGATAGTTTCCAAATATATTAATATACAAGATGATATTGATGATGCGTTTAAAGATATAACATTCCCAATTGCACTTCAAGATATTCGCAAAATTGAAAGAAGAACAGGATTACAAATAAACGTATTAGGTTATATAGCTTGGCATGCAATATTGAAATTGACCCGAATAAACTAATTATAACATATTATATGATTCTGATTATTGTAAAAGATATAAGTGGCGAAATTTCTCAATGTTGTTGAAGGTTTGCTACAGCGAACAATAAATATATGAAAAACTATGATGCAAATGAAGAAAGCACATATTTGACTTACCTCGATGCAAACAGTTTGTATGGGTTAGGAATGAGTCATTTTTTACCTTATAAAGACTTTATATGGTTAACAGAACAGCAAATAAATAAACTTACTATTGAAAACATATCACAGAACAGAAAAATGGCTTCATTTTGGAAGTAGATTTCCTCAAGAGTAACATAATTAACATAAATATTTTCCATTAACTTTAGAAAACCTGTATCCACTTGCTTTTAATCAACCAAAGCTACTAGGGACTTTATAAAACAAATAAAAGTATGTTATTAACTATAGAATCTTTCAAATGTGCTTAAAACTCGGATCAAAGTTAAAGAAAATACAGAGAGTGATCCAGTTTAAACAGTCAGATTGGTTAAAGAAATATATAGGCTTAAACACACAAATGAGGACTAAAGCAACTAATGACTTCGAAAAGGACTTTTATAAACTGATTACCAACGACGTATTTGAAAAACCTATGGAGAACATTCGAAACCGAGTTGACATAATTTTAAAATAAATATGAATAGAGAAGAGCTTGATGATGGAGAACAAAACAGTAGGTGCAAAAATTGCTTCTTTTCCTTTATACACTTGCTACAAGAGTTTCTGCATGAGCTAAGAAGGAGACTTGACCGATGATCTGATTTGAAAATCCTTTTATGGTTGATTTGCTATAAAAGTCCTTATATAATAAATAGGTACATGTAAAGAAGTTGATTGGAATATTAATGTTCGGCTGCCCGAGAAAGTGGAAGCAAAACGTAATGGTGAACTATTATCAGAATCAATTCATTGTTTAATTGCTGGTCCTTATAATTGCGATAAATCCACTTTATTGATTGATAATTTTATTCTTTCACTTGGTTGGCGGGATTGGTAAAAGATATTTATTCTCGACAGTCTTGAATCAACCAAAGTATTCTCAAATACAAGACTATTGCAGCTCAATTGAAGGTGAAATAGGTTGAAGTGAAATAGGACAACCAATTGCAACTTTGTCGAGAGAAGACATTCCGCTTGTTGATTGTAAAAGTAATTCTGTTGTAGTTTTCGATAATTATATGTTAGTAAATCAAAATAATGTTCGTGATTTCATTACACGCGGAAGACACAAGAATATCGATTGTGTTTATGTATCCCAAACGTACACCAAAGTAGCAAACCAGTGTGTCAGAGATAATGTGAACTTTCTTTGTTTATTCTGGGAAGACAATTCGATTTAAAACACATTTATGACGATTTTGTTTGTGGTGATTTTACATTTGATGAATTGAGAAACATGTGTAGTGAATGTTGGGATAAAGATTATGGATTTATGACAATTGATATGACGAGAAAATTAAATGATGGGAAATATCGTACCAAAACAATTTTTTAAAGATTTTCTTGTCACCTAAACACGCTGTGATGCGGTAGTTTTTTACGTAGATGTTTTTACGTTTCAGTTTCAAGTTGTGTTTTACGTTTTTAGTATTTTTATACAATAAATAGTTAGTAAACTAAAGAGTTCTTATGATTTGAAGACATCTGAAGAAGCAATTTAACTGAAAAACTACTTAAGATATTAAAGGTTAGGAAAATAAACGAGTATTAGTATGACAAATACAAGAGACAAGAACAACCTATGATTGACGCTATTGGTAACCTCAGTGAGAAGCTTGAAAACAAACTAGATAAGGCAATCTTTACTAAAGTAAAGAGCTTGTTCCATTCAGAAACTGTCCGTTAATTCATGCAAATGATTCAAAGTTAAACATAACATTAAGCGAGTCGGAAGTATATAACGTGCTTTGTTACTATGATGAAACAAAGAAAAGAGATGAAATACATAGCAAGGCTCAATACAATAGCTCATGAACATCAAGAAGAAGATTCCAGAACGAAAACCAACGTGCATGATTACGTAGATACCTGAGCCACTGTAAAGATGAAACATTCGAATTAAAATCAGTTGATATAGCTATGTACGTTGGTGATTTTCCAATATATCCGGAAACAGTATTCGTTGAAGGAAGAGAATATATTATAACTGTACGTGGAAAAGATTATAAAGCTACTGATGGATTAATGACTCATCTTACTAAAAAGGTTATTGCTAAGAGTGATATAGAAGAGAAATTCAATGACCATGATTTGGAAACTTATGCTTAAATTCTACAGGAAAAATGCAATTTTTTGCCAGTACTAGAAAACCAGACATAGGAAATTCGCCGGATCCCCACGATAGGCTGTGAATTAACAACTCCACTAAGTGACGCACGATCCGGGGGGCACCACACTTACAGTATCAAAGTTTAAACGCACAATAAAAAAATCTTGGAGACTAAATAATCAATATTTTTGCTTATAACCGAGTTCATATCACCGCTTTCGGTTTCAAAACATTCCACAACACATATTTTTTGTAACATTGCGAGATTTTTGTAACGGTTGTGCGAGATGTTTTTGCAGTCCAGTTTAATTAAAGCTCTTTCTAGGGTAAAAAGTCTATTTGCAAACGATAAAGTATAACTTACTTTCTGTCTTCTGAGATTTTCTATAAGCTGCAACTGTTTCTTAAATGCATTTATCAGTTCCACCTTCTGTTTTTCAAGCTTTTGAATTGTAGCAATAAACTCTTCAGTCTTTTTCTTATTGTAATTCATTCGTTCCTGAAAATTATATTAAAATTAAATATGCATTTTATCCAATTCAATCCCAAACGACACTGTCTATTTTCAAGCATGATTAAAAATTACAGTAATTACTGAGGGTTTGGGGTAAGTATTGTTTGAATTTGAAAATTGAAGTGGGGAGACGAAAAAAAAGGTTAAAAATTAGAATTGAATTGTCAAATCTGAATATTTTGAAATCATTTTGTCATGCAATCTCTAAGGATGTTATTTTAGATACGACATTAGTGATTATAAATTATATTAAAAGTAAAAACATACCAGATCAAATAATCTGGATCAAGGAAACTGGACATAAAACCTGATTGAGGTGGAATTCATTGATACACAAGCTGAGGAACAATTACTAGTTACACTACATTGTTAAAATCAATATTATTTTTATTTTTGATGCTCGGTATACGCCATTTTAATACAAACAGTTATGTAACAGAAAATATTTTACTTAGCAATTGGTTCACGTAAAGTTTGGCAGATCGGCAGGATGGTAACAAAAATATGGGGAACAGATAGTCTAATTTTGTCATTTACTCGAAAGAAAACGAGCTTTGCTTATTAATACCAAATTACACTGAAATAATAAAACATGTTTGCTTTTCTCTTTAGAATATTTCCTGTCTTTCAATTCTCTTAAAATTGTTTTTATTTCATAGATTCGAGTGTTTCCGCATTTTATAACTTTTCTAAAAAATTTTCGCTGAACTTTTTTTATTGTTTTCCAGTCTTTAATTTTCCGTAGAAATCGATCCCAATTTACAAGTAAGTTGGACTTGATACTACAATTCCATTAATTATTGCATTGCCAAACCATTAATTATCTGAAAATGGGAGGAAATTAATCTTTCCGTGAGATAAACGACTCGAAATATCTGCTCTAATTAATATATCACATTTCGATGTAGGAAGATGCTGAGTCAACAGTACGGGTCATTGAAATACACAGTTCTGAGTTCTAGGTGTGTTGCCGTTTGTAATCTGTAGGGAGGTTCTCTAGCGAGGAACGAGAGTGTTACACGTGCTCTCTGCACAAGTCAATCGGTTTATCTGCTGCACAGTCAAGTGATACCTTACGGGAGGAATCTGTTTCAACAGATTGTTTACTATTTCCTTCAAATGAGAACAAGAAAATAGTTGAATTTTTCTACTTCATAAGAATAAGAATATTTGTCAAGCACATTCTTGCTATACTACACCTCAGTACCAAACACATTTTTCGCACACAATGTCTCCATGCCAATGATAATTTAGACCATTGAATGTCGTACCAATATTCATATAATATTATTTAGAAATAATTATATTTACAAAAATGTATAAGTCCAAATGAGATAACGTGAACTTTTTGCAGCTGCTAACACTATGAGACCAGTTTCCCTAAAATATCATATGGTTTAGTGCTAAAAAAAAGTGTGTCTTTATGACACCATGTGGTCTCGCATGGTAGCCAACGTGTTAAAGTATTATTTTGTATTCCAAATTAACGGGATAATTTCTCTGATTTATTTAATAATTGTTTACACTTCCTAGATAAAGAAGGTCAACTCAAAGTAATCTTAATCGAGATTGAAGGGCAATTTTAATAGTACCATAATGCCACAATGAGTTCTCTGATATTTCTTCCTCTAATATAATCTAATGATTATTTGCAATAAATATATACAAGCTTTCGCTATTGAAAAATACATATTAAGGAATTCTTCCAGAAGCAATACAAGCATATTATGTCGAATCTCATTTTCTTAAAATTCTTTACTTTACATACCTTTTCTTCCAATTTCGCGTTTTTTAGAGCTGTTTTATATTTTTCTACTTCTTCCAGACTTCTATTGAGACGAACTTCATTATTTTTCTGAGAGTGGATAGTAGATTTCAAATCTTTTTTCAGCTTCTCCACTTCCTGAAAGCGTGAAATAAATGCAATTCTGATATTAGGTTCCGACTCCTTTAAGTCTCTACAATCGAGAGTGAACTGTATTCACAAACATGAGTAATTGAAATTTATATGAAAACAATTTAAAACCGTTGCAATTAATTGTAATAGGCACTAAAATATTTGTACATAATATGAACTATTACAATTTTTTGTTTTATCATTATTCGTCGCCCTTGTGCAGCCCTGATTGTAACACCGCGTCTCAACTACTTAGTAAAACATTTAACATCAACAGGTTCAAGATGTAGATGCCACGAGCGGATCCATTCGATAATTTTTTCGGGGGGTCGTAGATTTGTATCAAATAATAAATATTGTAACATTTCTTAGTGGTGAATTCCTTACACACACGTAATATTTTAACAAAGACGTTTATTTTGTTTCTTAATGATACACTAAAATTACTTGATTTATTTACTGATAGGTTGCACAGTCCTTGTGTTCTTCACTTCGTTATTTCCTTACACACGACTCCCCTTGATTATTTATTTACGCTGTTCACTTCTGATTATTTATTTACGCTGTTCACTTCTGATTATTTATTTACACTGTTCACTTGTGATTATTTACTTACACACTGTCCACAGGCGTCCGCGCTCTCCTACTGCTGTTCTCCTACTGCACCGATGTTCACCGCAATGCACACTTCCCAGCTCAGCTTCCACTTCAGACAGACTGTATACTCACCGACTGACTGCTTACTCACTGACTACGTATTCTGACTGACTGACTCGCGGCCGCCGGCAGCGGCGAATTTAAACCTGGCCGGCGCCCGTCTCGACACATCAGGAACTTGCGCCACACTTATACACGACTCGCGAATAACTCGGAACCGTCCAGTTCGGGGGGCGCCAGCAGATGACGCAATTCGCGCAGCGAATCGGCAGATGATGAAACATTCGTTACAATATTTTTCTTGTAATATTGTATATTATTTGTGTAGTATGTTAATCAACCGTTCCTTCGGGTATGGTGAGCTAAAGTCGAGCAAGATTCAGGGATTAAATGGTAAAGAGCTGTAGTACTAGTTTAAAAAGTAAATCTTCCATAAAGCTATGATGTTGGGTCCACATATGTGGAACATTATGTGAAATGAATTTAGGTGTATGGAACAAAAAGTGCGACACATACTAAAAGGAAGTAGTTATGTTTAACTGCGCCTGGGGCGCATTCGAACTTTTAAACTAATGAAATCGTGTCAAAGTGGAACGCAATATTACGCAAAGTACTCGAAGTTTCGAAAAATTGTACATTACCTTATTTGAAAATCTATTTTTAAGAAACATATTTCATTAAGGAAAAAATCTCTATCTTATAATATCTAATATTTTAGTTGTAGGAAGAATTAGAAAAAAAAATGAATTTTTGTAATCTGCGAGAACGAAATCACGGTTATCAACGAACATGAAACCTGCACCATTTTCTCATTCGTCCTTTACACTATCCAACACGAAAATGTTATTAAAAACGTCGGAGCCATTCTTTAACATTTGGAAAATGTCCCAGAGGCTGCAATACCCCCAAAATTAAAATATCGGTTTCAATTTCCAGGGACCGCGACTTCAAATCGATAGAGGAATATCAATTTTGAAGAAAATCGGCTGCGCGGTTTAGCCGCTAGCGTTGTTTCCAGACGGACAGACAAAAAGACGTTCAGCCGTCATTCGATTTTTCGGTATCAAGGACCTACAATACATGGATTCTGGCTACACCACGTGTTAGAAGATTGTTTTCCCTAAATTTAGCAACTGGGTTTATCCACTCTTTCGCTACCAGGACCCTGCAATTTGAGTGTTTCTGCCGAAAAATCGCCGTATTCGCGCGCAGCCTTCCATAACTTGCTCCCTCCTCCGCAGCGAGAAAGTGCCAACTCGCCAGGCGGGCGAAGCGAGGCTGACCTTGCGCAGCGCGGACAGCTCGGCCTCGCGGGCGACGTGGTGGCGCTGCGCCGCGCCCGCCGCCTGCTCCACGCGCTCCTGCTGCTCGCGCGCGCGCCGCGCCTGCGCCTGCGCGTGCGCGCGCTCCTCCTCGGCCTGCTGCTGCGCCGCCTGCGCGCGCGACAGCTCCGCGCCCTGCGCGCAACGCCGCCGCAAAAGAAGCACGCCGTGTTAGTGATGCCGGGTGCGTCCGCTACTAGGGTCATTAGTCCCGTAAGTGTAGTGCGCGGTTTCGGCTCGGGAGGTGGCAAATTAGCAAGGAAACGTGCTAATTTTCTACCCATAGTAAGTAACATTGCATTATGAGCTCATAAACCTGGTAATCATTGGCCACTGAGAATGTCCATATCAACTCGAACATACCTGTTTCTTATAATTTGTTTGTAGTGCAGTATATTCTTCTTGCAAGACTTTCGCTTTCGCTTTCAGAAAACGAATAGTGGCTTGTTCTCCCATTCCTCGACCTTCTTCTGGTATAACATCATCCCGAGAATATTCCGGTGTGGTGTAAGACCTACAACTGGTTTTTAGCACTTTAGTTATTCATCGGTAGAAACGATTGAAAATTAGATAGAAATTACAGGACTAGGAAACGAATATAATTATACAACTTTATCAAGTAGATATCAATGATACTCTAATTGCGAAATAAGTTGAGATTATTACGAGGTATGGCCATAGCAATAATAATAAATAACGAATGAAGAAACGTTCTTCCGCAAAGAGAACTGTTCTTCTGTTTCTAATCGTCAAGGGCACATGGTTTACTTATAGTAGGAAAATGATCCCTGCGGGACTCTACAGGCAATATGCAAAGAATCGGAAAGATGTGTACATAACGTTCCATTATTCTCGTAAGGTATTTCTACTCTCTGAGATCGTTGTTTAAGGTACGAACAGAACCAATCTACAGCAATATCACGAATTCCATACGAAGGTAATTTGGAAAGTAAAACGTTATGTTCTGTGAAGTCAAAAGCTTTTGAAAGGTCTAAAAATATTCAAATAGGTGCTTCGTTTGGTGCATGGATGAGGCGACATCTTTAAGAAAATAAAATATGGCTGTTTCCGTAGATTTTGATTTAGAAAGCCATGTTGGTAATCTGAAAACGCGTCTTGTTTACTAAGAAAGGTTTCCATTCGAACGTAAAAAAGTCTCTCTAATATTTTTGAAAAAAGAAAGAGAGAAATTCGGAGATAATTTTAAATTTTATTTTTGTTGCCTTTTTTGAAAAGCGGCTAAATCTTAGCCGTTTTAAAAATATCTGGAAAAATTCTGTGCATAAGGATACATTAAATATGTGAGTTAACAGGTGTATAATGACGACGAGTCTTTAACAAACAATCCGGAAATTCATCTAAACCGGCCGAATATTTATTTTTTAGTCCACCGATTATATTGAGAATATTATTGGAAGAAGTTTCGGAAACGAACACCGTGTAAAATTTTTGGGGAAACGTCTGATGTTGAATTTTGCTGCTGGAGACCCTTAGTGTGATCGGCAGCAATTTTCGATAAGTATTGGTTAAAGAGACTAGCGACTATTGTCGGATCGTCATTTCTTTATATATGTTTTAAAACAACATTCTCTATTAGGTTTCTAGTTGATTTGGTGAATTTTTTACTATATTTCATATTGCTTTTGTTTTATTTTTTGAGTTCAAAATATTCTGATCATGTTTCATGATTTTAGTCTGCCTTATGACTTTTCTTAACAATGATGAATTTTATAAAGCAGATTCATTATGATGCTTAGAAATGAAAGAAAGAATTCGTTTGTTTTTACATAATGCTCTAATCCATAGTGTTATCCAAGAATTGCTTTTCCGTGAAATATTTAATTTTATTTTTTGAATAGGAACGCAAGTGCTAAAATAAAATGAAAGCGTTGAAAACAAAATTATATTTATCGTTTGTATCAACTGTATTTTAAACCGCGTCCCATGACTCTTTAAGCAAGTAATCGATGAATTATTTAATTTTACTTTTAATGAAGAATCTACTCACGCGTTTATTATTTAATGTGCAAGTGACGTTGTGACGTCTTTCCAAACATCTCTATTGATGTCAGTTACAGGTTGTTGAATTTACTTCTATTAGTACAGATTTGCTTTATAAGAACAAACACATTGGAAGAAATACATTATAAGGAAATTTAAAACTTCAAGTAAGCATAAGATTTTTTATTATATTGTAAATTTAACATTGCGTTGTAACATTGTTTACAGCTCTAATGAACCTTGCAAAGCTCGGAGAAACTTTATTTACAAGTTAATTAATGTGTATTCCATAACACTGCTTAATCATTGATCCATCACGTCACCCTACCAATTCAATAAATAACTGTGTATTAATATTCAAAACTAATATTGTATATTTTGTGCTATAATATGCTATTAAAATAAAATTTAATTGTATATTTGAGCACAAAAAGGATATTATGAATTGTCGCCCCAAGAGGCGCTAAGTACAGCAAGGATATCAATTCCGCATTTCATAATAACCCAATTATTATGATATACTTCTATTTATGAATGATTGTGACTGGTCATGTGTGTGTGCACAGTGGGTCCAGGGGGCCACACGCCCATAAAAATTACGAAAGGACCCCATGATCTACTACTTTTTCTTTTATCTCACTTAATATTTATATTAATATTATTTCGCGTATTATAAAATATTAATTAAATGTATGCAGTTATTGGGAGTCTCTTAAAATATCCTGATCTTGCAATTGAAACGTACCACAGAGGACAGTTGAAAGCATAATCTGAAAACACGCGCGAAGATAACTTCGGCGAAATGATTGTTGAACTTTCCGACGAACTTTTAAATCATTCATACACTTGTGTAGACACCACGAAGACACTTAACCTAATAGATCGGGATTTTACCGATGAGGAAAAACTAATTGTGAATTCTTCTCCTCAGGTTAGTCGGCTGAATTAACTGAATTATTTAACTATGTTCTTGAAGTCACAAGCAACTCAAAAAACCACGGATTCCTGGAAGGATGACCGTCAGGGAACCCCGGTTACTAACGGCATCGAACTCCTGGCCGAAGGGATAAAAGGCAACGGCGTCACGAGACAAAAAGACAAATTTAACGGAGGATTTTAATAATTTTGAAGAAAATCATTCATGGTTAATATTTTTAATCGCATATCCTCCATATTTTTCTGTGCTTCTTAAAGGTATTTATACCAAACCTGGGGGCAATCGCTTCAAAGATAAACAGCTTTTGTGGAACAGACCTACATACAAATATTCATATTATTACAGGAGAGAAAATCATTTAATAGAAAAATGTGAATATTTAATGATAACTGACATTACTTATATTTCCATATTTTAAATATATTTGGCTTGGTACATTTTAATGATCTCTAAATTGTTGTGGACCCCTGTGCTACAACACAATAATATGACCTTAAGGATCATTGAAATAAATATCTCTAAAGGTGAGACCTACAAAATAGACATTATTTCTGAGATAATTTCTGCCTATAATAACAATTTTAAATTAATTGTTACCTGTTATACATTACTGACTTGGGAGTTGGATGACTTTCATCAGCAGTTGCTGTATTTGTTTTCATCAGATCACCAGTGGATCCTAGGCTTGAAGTCTGCATAGAACTCAGCCACATTGCAGATTGTTTTGGAGCATTTGTCTTGCTCTTCCTGGATAATGCTTCAAGAGAAGAACTGTTGGAATATTTAATGTTATTATTACCATAAAGCAGACATTTAATATTGTCAATTCAGTGAGACGGACCACTCGTTAATGTTTACGCTAGTGAAGAAATGTAGACAATTGAATCATTAGCTTATCAATGAATCGTTTATAAGCTAATGATTCAATTTTAGCTAAATATAATTTTAACTTTAGCTATATTTGAAATGAATCTGTGAAGTAAATTTTGTAGTGTTATTTGTTTAAAATATAAATATCTATACTATTGTTATTAATTGTCATAGATTTAGGCTAAGAAGGCAGTAAGTGTACCTTGGCCCACCTTATAAGATTTTTCTTCGGAATACATATAAACTTTAAAAATTAAGAATGAAACATATTTAGGTTTATTATTTAAGTACATTGTGTTTCTAAATTTCTAATTCTTACAGATGACGAAGGTTTGATCAGTAAAGCAAAACGTTGATGGAAGGTACATCTTTTGCATGGCACAGGCATCGGGAAAATAACTTCCTGTCTTTGTTTCCCCATGAGGGCAATTTGGTATTTTACAGTGATTTAGAGGGTTTTGGTTCAGTTCCACATCCAGTATGATTCTTCTAAATGGAGGCTTTTAATTGACTCTCCCAGAAGAAGCTTAAAAGCAGTTTTACTACACAATGGTGGCCGTTCTACGACCATTCCTGTTGTTCATCCGGTGTAATTGAAGGAGACTAATGAGAACTTGGAGTTGATACTCAAAAAAGTGGATTACCAAAACCAAAACTGGTAGGTATATGGGAATTTAACAGTATTGTGTGTGGTGTTGGGGCAAGAGGATGGGTACACCAAATGCCCTTTTCTGGGACACTAGAAACCGACGAAATCCCTGGAAGCAAACAAATTGGCCACCAAGAAATCTAGTCTTTGGTGAAAAGAATACCCTCAAGGAAACGTTAGTACCCTCTGAGAAGGTTTTATTACCACCTTTACATATAAAATTAGAATTAATGAAGCAATTTTAAGGCACTACCCAAAGATAGAGAATGCATTAAGTACTTGGGATCAAAGTTTTCAGGTTTATCGGAGGCAGAACCGAAAGAGGGGATATTCGTTGGCTTGGATATTTGAAAATGCATATCAAACTAAGACTTCATAAGTTCAATGACTTCAATCAACCCAAATAGAAGCCCGGGTTGACTTTACTGTGGTCATTAAACCGTTATGGGGAATCCAAAAGGACTCAAATAACAAGGTAACGGTGAAAACTTTGAAAGCGAAAAGCTTGGTTTATTACCACCTCCTTACTTGGTTACTCCTTGAGTCATCCGTTTGTTTGAAACCCCGATGTCCAAATACAAAATGATTGTCATTCCTGGATTTAGTGCACCACAAAACATAAAAATCAGTCAACTAAACTGAAGCAGCTGACCATTTTTTTCAGACCTTTGTAATGCATTCGATATCGTCAATAATTGACTGAACTTGCGTAGTTTCAATAACACGTGAAATTCATAAAATTAAGTAACACCTCGTACCATAGGAAGTTGATATTCCCCTCAGAGCCCGCGCAGCGTTTGGTGACCAGACCCCCACCCATGGAAGAAGAGTCGTTCTCGCACCGAAGGCCCAATGTTGAAGCATAGAACCAAGAGTAACTGGAGTACACGCAGTAATGGAGCCAAGACATGGTGCAAGTTCTGGGAGATCACCGGGCGACGGAGTTTCAAAATGATTACATATATACATCACTATTGCGGCAGTATCTTAAATATTGAATGCCATTAAAAGGAAAATGTATATTCGTAACACATTATAAAATATTTTTCGATTATCTGGAGGTTGTGCAATCGTGCAATCTAAGCACAAAGTCGCCACTGCTAATATGAAGGTGATCCAGTTGTTCCGGAGAGGAAAAGTACTTGTCCAAAGGACGTGTTTCCATTAACCGAAATACTATTGTTCCCCAACGTCCATTTTTGAAAAAAAAATGTTTATTGGTGATACAATCACCTTTCTCTTCGTATAAGAAAAAGTCGGGAGGTAGCTCATCTACTGCTGCCCCCACAAAACATTTCAGTGCACATCGATCAGGCTTTCCTTTTACGTACTGTCGAACACGATTCCAAAGAGGGATCATCTTCTCGTCTATGGAAATTGCCACTGATCTTTCAACGATGTAAGAGCCATTTTAAAATACTTCAATAGAGGCTCAATTTTACAAATAACGTTTTCAGGAGAAGAACCGGGTCTGTCATCCTCCGAGCGTTTTAGATCCCCACGAATTGAAAGATACCTAATATTACGTGGTATACTGTCAGAAGTAGGAGACTCTTGATGTGCGGACTCGTGGGGACCCGTGGTGCGGACAACCGAGAGCGAGTAATTTCACGAGATATCTTTCTGATTTCTCTCTGAGCCGACTTTCATTAAATAATAATTATTGTTACGTTGGTGTCGATAAATTGATAAACAGTCATAACTTCCCTCCACATCTTAAGTATTACAGTTTTGTTTCTTAAGCACACTGGACAGAATCGCCTACAGAAATGTTTTCCGCGGCTCGAATCCATAAATTCTTGGCTATCCGGGAAACGCCGCGTCGTTGGCTGGGAGGCCGACGTTTCGCCTGGCATGTCGCAGCCTTCCTCAGGGCAGTGACACTGCGCCGCTACGCGCCCGGTGTTATATACTATCCTGCCTGGGCACTCGGGAGGGGCAGCCAACGACACGGCGTCTCCCGGGTAGCCAAGAATTTACAGAGGTGTTTTGTTTTCCCGCTGATGCCTCAGTCCTTCCCCCCCCCCCCCCTCTGTGCAAAGAGGAAGCTTCCGGCGTGTGAGCCGCGTACCTGCCCGCCTAACCTCTTGAATGGGAGAAATACAGAAACAGGAAAGTTTCTGCACCTTATGACCTGACGGTCGCCGCCTCCTCTGCTATCTCGACGTGCCAGGCACGGCTGTTTTCAAAAGATGGTAAAGACACGCGGTTGCCAAATTCCCAACCAAAAAGTGCCCTTGGACAGGGGTTGCGAGTTAAGCTAATGATATATATATATATATATATATATATATATATATATATATATATATATATATATATATATATATATATATATATATATGTCATTAGTTTTTATTACACAGGAGAGAGTATTTGATCAATTCTTGCAAAAACGCTTATTTCCATCTGTAATCAGAATTCAACTTGTATACGAGTTAGAGTAGGAATCCCAGAATTTAAGAAGATTTGTAGATAATATACTTCTTTCCATAGTACATCATACACTGTTCTTAACTGTTTTTTTATGTTGAATAAATGACAATTTTAAAAAAATTGCTAAATATCATGTCAGCAAGTAACCACATAACTGCAACCAGAGCTATATATTACTTGGATTGCATTCTCAGTGTTTCAAAGATGTTGATACCTCAGATAGTTCTCACAAAAAATTGCAAACAAACCTCAAATTTTGAAAAAAAGTTCTGAACAGGTTTGAGAAAAAAATGAGAGACTAGAGTTTCCAAGCTCTCCTGTGAGCTTGTTCATTAAATAAGCTGCATTATTTGAGTGGTTCTAATGTTGAATTCTAATAGGAAAGATGCTCCCTACCGTGTATTTAAGAGATTCCCTACCTCTACAGCTAGAAAGAAATGTCATCCCTGCTTGTGCGTTGCTCAAAGACAAATCATGCTGTGACCATCTCTTCAATTCAAATGATAGTTGTAAAGCTGTTCTTCTGCATTTACATAACATAGTAGATTAAATGAGCAGAGTTCCTAACAAAACAGTCACACAATAAATGCTACACAAAATAGTCATGAAAGGTTACATTTACTGAATAAAATCTCATTAGCCTGGATTAATTTTTTATATAATTTGAAGAAAATACTAAATAGAATTTGCTAATGACTCACCTAAAAAATAACAAATTAGAAACAATTCAGAAAATTTGATTGTTTAAATATTTTAGGCCCATGTAAAATATTATCATGGGTGATTGTAGATAATTCTAACTAATGGTGCTACAGAATGGCACAGACTTTCTCGTATTAGTTTTCTTGTACTAGTTTATTTGATCTGGGCTAGCTTTTCGGTCTTGCCCCATCCTCTTGCCAGCTGCTCAAAGTACATTTTTAATAAAATTTGCTCAATTTTTCGATTCCCTAATGATAGAATTGAAATATTACTTTAAGAATATTATAGAAGAGTAAAACCTTGCCATATACGGAAATTTTCATTGCAAAGTTTGGAGCCATTTTAAAGACAATGTTGTTAGGGCGTCACTGTAAATGCAAAAATTGTAGCTCCTTTTTACAAAAAAATTTTCAGTTTTCGAAAAACTTTACTGGAAGTCATTTGAAGTACTTCCACTCCAATGCAATAATGTTTATAAATTGCTGGAAATGTGCATATTAATGTCGTAATCAAATTTAAAGCAAAAATTTTGAATTGTCTCAGGGCTTCATGTAAATTACCCCCAAATTTTAAAACATATTTTTCAATATCACAGTGCTACATAACTTCCAACAATTTCACAGCGTTACATAACTTCCTCTATTCTATGTACTACTCCATATATGAGAAAGTAAAAAGAAATGGTTTTTATTTTCAAAAGTGAACTTATAACCAAGTTGCCTATTTTTAATTTGGAATATTGAGACCCATAGTTGAATGGAAACTTAGAAGTTACAACTACTTCCAAATAAAAATGTAAAATGGGTAGGATTAGAAAGACATATCAATCCCCAGAGGTGAACTTCTTTTAGGTGATATATTCCACATATAATAAAATGTAACTTTTTTATTTTTATTTTAGTCAGCCTTAAACATTATTCAACAGATTAAATACTTCCCTTGCTTTCTGACTGAATATTTTCATTGGGTACACTTTAATAGAATATTACACAGTTACAATGGAAATATATACCAGCAGGGAACAGAGATGTTGGAAGGCCACAAAAGAAGTGGCAACAAGAAGAATATTAACCTGGAAGATTAACTATCAGGAATACTGCATAAATAATGAAACAGGCTGTTAAGCCTAAATACCAACAGTTCATGATGATGATGATGATAGAGTTACAAATAAATATTTAAAAAATATATGCTCTGATTTATTACAAACTTGCTGAAGTACCCTGCACCCTGAAGTAGACCCAAAACACAGTGTTTTTTTATTATTATTTTTTTTATTTTTAGGATTGCATTGAGTTAAATTCAGAAAAATCTGTTGGGACAGCAGGATACATGTCAATATTCAGGACATATCCCCGTTTTTTCAGGACGTATGGCAACCCTAGTCTTACCATGTCCTTATCTGCCCTAGCCTGTACTGCCGGGTCCCTTTTCTTCTCTTGCTTGACCTCGCCCTGCCCCATCCCGCACCACTCTACCCAAACCCTCTTTTCTTTGTGTCTCTTGGCCAACATGCCATGTTGATAACTCCACGGTTGCTGTGTGTAGCAGTAAACAGATGCATTTTCCATACTCCAGTCAAGCTTCCAGTGACAATTTTGACATTTAATTACTCAAAACATACTTGAGTTATCTCAATTAATAAAGAAAATTTAAAAGGAAATTTTATGGGCATTAAAAAATGTTTAATTCATTGTTGAACATTTTTTCAATGTTTTTGAAATGTTTGCAAAAAATTGAAAGAGTGCACACCTAAAATTACTTTTCACTAAAATGGGGTTGGAAAGAAAGACGGGTAGTTTTATGAAATCTCAAGCAGACTGCTTTTCTCGTTTTGAAGATCGCTTGTACAAAATTTCATTACAATTTAAATAAATATGTGGAAGGTTGTGAATGGATACATGGAAGTATATTTTTATGAAAAACAAACAAATGTTCCTCTTTAGGTAATAGAAAATAATAATTTGAAGAAAAAAGTAGCCTTAATTATGCTAAACAAAACATTATTTTTCAGTGAGAACTGCATCATAATCAGTTCTGCCATTCCAGATTTTACCCCAAATAAACAGGCAGATAAAAATCATAAACACAATTGACTTTTTTTAAATATGATCTAAATAAACACATATGATTATAAAAAGTCAGTAATTTTGGAATCGCAGGCAGACAGTACAATTTTATTTATATATAATATTCTGCCTTTACAATATCCATATGATGTAGCTGAAAAATTTGCATGCTTTGGAAGTTTTCCCTGATAACAATGCTGTTTCACTTTCAATTACACATTTTCACTGATCAATTTTTAATCCCTGCATCTCTTTAATAATTTATGCATTACAACTCATAAATAAAAACTTACCACTTTTCAGAAAATTTGAAAGATGCAAAATCTTGACGTGAATCTACACCCCTCTCTGAGCGCTCTTGGAACTTCTGGAAGTGGGGATTCTTCTGTCACAAACAATTAAAAAATTTATGAGGTACTTTATTTGGAAATGATTGCTCCCATTATCTTCCTATTATTGAAACAATAAATCTTAAATGTAAATTACAATATTTTTAATAATATCTGAACGTTTGGAAATGTAAAGGTTGCATTGACTTTAATGTCATACAATATTAATGTTTCTTGTAACAAATAAATAGTACAAAGTAACTGACACATACCAACAGCAGAACTAGATGTTCACAACCACACAGGATAGATATTTTTATAATTTAAAATTTTTCTACAATTTTTCCAGCATTAGATATCATTCATACTATCCTCCTTATTAATACAATCCAATTACTTTATTTCATTTATTAGCTTTTTATCTATATTCTCATAAAAATTATTACAAGTACATTCTGGTCATATTAAATGCTGTTTGTTCTGAACACAACACACTTTTTAATTTCTAAGACAAATTAATTAACTCTTGAAAGCATAGGCTTCGGTGGTCAGAGTCAGTAACTACTTGACTGTCTGAGAGATGCTGCATGATGATACATCCAGAATGACCGCCCAATATTTTGGCTTCTATTCTGAAATCTTCCTTCCACATTCCATCCTGAGAAACATCACAGAATGGCAGACGAAACTTTGGCACCAGTGCCTAGGACACAGCACCTCCCAGACAGCCAAGTAGACAATTAACAACTTTTGTGCTAGAAAGCACGAGCACTTTGAATATATGATACCTTCATAATAGATATCTAATTAACATTCTAGAAAATACATTCATACTACAGAAACATCTACATTACATTTTTCAAAGAAAGATATGAGAGAATATATTTTTGTATCAAATATTGTCACAACAGGTTTGAGAGGAAGATGCACAGCATGCATACATATAGTATAAGCAAAAAGAGAAGTAAAACAGTAAAAATCCATTCACATTACATTTCTTGTAAAAACTAATAATCAACAAATGGAAGAAATAACATGAGATAATATAAAGGTTTTCATTACCAAAACATCCTCCATCTCTTTCCACAGTTCCTTGGTTTTCATTTCCAACTCTATATTCATTTGATGTAAGTGTTGCTCCCTCTTCAGTATGTTATCACCCATTCTTTTAAACTGTTTATGCTCTTTTAAAATTACTAATGGAAATCACTAGAATTATAGTTAAACTAATGAAGTCAATTAGTCAACTAATTCTGAAACCTGGAAAAACTTCAGCTATAAAAATCTGTTAAGATAGATAAGCACATAATCCTGTGAATATGTTCATAGAATTGGTTCAGAAGCTCTAAAACATTTACATGGAGAGTCTCAAGAAATATTTTTTAATACTTATCATAAAATAACGATACATTTTGGGTATGATTAAATGGTACTGAAATAATCTAATTACTGAAAAGCCATTGTAGAGATAAAATGGCTTCATGTGAAGTTCAGAAGAACTTAAATGGCAAAGTTGTGAATTTCTTGCACTATTATTTAAAATCTCTTTTTTAAAAGCACAGCAATGTAAATGAACAACTTCTTAAAGTAACATGACATTTACTAAACACAAAAAATAAAACCTTTGGGAAATCGGGAATTCATCCAACAACTCCATGAACCAAGGGATGGTAACAACAATGATTCTTATTTACTTATATCTAAAGAACGTCAACATCTAAATTCCTCAGAAAAATAAACTTTTTAATTTTTAAGCACACCTAAAATACTCCCCATTCAAAAGATATAAGCAGGTAAAATAATGGGTAAACCGCAGGTAGGTACGACCTTTTGATCCTCAAATTGTAATTTAATAGCAGCATTCATCTAAAATTTACACTACGTGGTTTGTTTCCATGACAACGATTCATATTTCGTGTATGAACGTCATTTGTTTCTGTAGCCAACATAGCGTAAAGAATTATATATCAACACCAATTTTTTTCTTATTTATTGGAAAAAAGAATAAAAATGAAGCATAAAATTGTGTGCATACATTAATGTATATATCAGCTATCATGCGTATTGTTGAATTAATTTCATCGGCATAAAAGTTTAATGTCTCTAAATCTCTGTATATACTTTACTTAGTTGGTAGAACTACATCCGGTTGCTAAGAATCGTCATTTGTTTTTAATCTGCTAACCCAGAGTCGATCGCCTTTTGTTCTTTCGTAACATCCGTGTATAAAGTGAATCGAGCTGACTCAGCTGACTGTTTCTTGAGGGCTGTTTGAGACGCGAAGTTGGAGTCTTAGTTATAGTGTAATATTTCTATTACATTTTTTAATATAATGGGTACTGTACGTGCCATTACCGACGATGCCCATTTTAATGCAGAATTAAGTGCTGCAGGAAGTAAATTGGTTGTCGTCGATTTCACAGCTACTTGGTAAGTAGTAAGGTTATACGTATAATGTGATGTCATTGTAGTCATTATTTTTGTTGACCTCATCAACCGAACATTATTAATTATATTCGTATTATCGAGTATTGTTGCGTAATGTTTTCAACTTGTCAGTTGGAATTGAGTCATAAGAAAATTATCAAATTTCATTTGCTTTATCTGAGTTCATAAATGTTTTTGTTTATTTCACTTCAGTCGCTAAATTGCTATTTATTTTGCTATTGCAATTTATTTTTGCTTTACAATTCTTACCAACGTGCAGATTTAGTGTAAACACTGAAAGAAAAAATTTGTGCTGATAGAATTGGCATATCTTAATAATTCTCTTAGGAATTCTGTGTTTTTTTCCTTTGCTCTTTGTTTATTTGGTTCATTGTGGTTGCGTAATTTTGTCTTTTCTCACAGTCGTGTATTTTGAATGATCTAAAATATTTTCCTGGAAATGGGTGTCATGTTTCGCGGTACATTTGTCATCATTTTTAATTACAGATATTAGTAGTATTATTTGTAACCATCTTAAACAAATGAGGTTTTCAATTTCATTGCAAAAGTATTTGCAAGTCATTCACAAATAATTTTTTATTTTATGTAACTGTAGATGTGGTGTGATGAAGTAAATAGTTACTCAGTGAAGTAAATGCAGTAAATTTGATAAGGGTCATTAAACTAAATTTCAAAACTTAACTTTCATTAAACATTCCGGTTGATTCAGAAAACTTTGAAATTCATATATGTTATGTTATGTGAACATGAAAAAAGGTAATAGAATATTGAAGCAAAATATAGCAGTTCATAGCAGCCCCTTATAAGGTACTATTAACTTTCCAGACTGTTGTATTAATATGTTTTCCTCTACCAATATAGAAATGTGTATTGTTCACACCGGGTATTATTTATTAGTACCCTAATGCCATTTTAGGAATATTAAATATTTTGGCTAACATTTAGTATATGGTACAGCCTAAGCGAGTCGTTTAAGGCACTTTGCGTCGCTCCGGCAAAGGGGAAATCGACGGTGGAGGGGACAAGGGTTGTTTAGAGGATTATGAAGGGCATCTTTCGGTGGGGAGGAGTGGGGAGCAATATGTGTAACTCAGTACATATATAAATAAAAAGTATGAATGAATGTAAAATTCCGTACCTTGGAGGTAAAAATCTCTGACAGATTTACCTAATTTTACTGGAGAATAGTTGAAGGAGATTTCCGTTGCCTCAATGAATGTAGACGTTGCCTTTTCACTGCTTTTAAACTTCGTTGTTAATGACTTTTAGACATTGTTAATGATACCGCTAGTAAGAGTTGGATTTGGTACAAACATGTTAAAATATCGCATTTAAGAAACTGTCATAGGTTCATTTTCCTCAAAGGTATAGTATTTTTTGTTTATTATAATATGGATTTCTTGTACTCTTCAAAACCCTACTTACTAATTAATATCCAAAACTAATTGTAAAGAGCAAATACAGCTTGGGCGATGCAGACTTAACATGCACTGATGCATGTGTTTATCGCAGATATTCCAGTGATTCTACCTTAATTGAAACCTGATATTTATTGATGTTTAACAATGCAGGCGTTGCTTGCAACACTTTTTGTACAGCTCTCGTACTGTTGGATGATTTCTGATTGTGCCTGCATATGGAACAGAGTGCATTTCGTGTAATTCAAGGATATTTTTATGTATGTTTTTATGGAAAGTTATTGAAAACTTATCCAAGCTAAAAAGAGAAGAAGGTGAACTTAGATTTTTTGTTAAGTAACTTTTGAACTTTTAAAATTCACACACATTTAAGTATTATGATTTTAAATGTAAACCAATGTGCTTTTGCATCTGTGTTGTTCGTATATTGTAAAAGCTACTTTGTGTGTTTTATTTGAAAAGAAATTTTCTGAGTTTCTTGTATATGAAGATGGTGATAAATCAGAATCTTTGTAAGTAGTAGTTGGTGATGGTGAACTCCTGTTTTAGGTGGATCAATACAAAATTGAATTTCTTGAATATTGTAATATTTTGTGAGAATTTTGAAGTTCAAAGGTCTTCTTTTCCCCCTGATGCCTCTCAGCATTGGGTTAGCCATTTGGCATACTCCTTTTTGTCTTGTGCCTTGTGCTTCACCTCTCCTAGTTTAGCTCCGCTCCTTTGGCATACATCCTGTATATTTGCATCCCATGTTCATCTTGGCTTTCCAGGTGGTCTCTTTCCCTCTGGCTTGGCATCGAACGTTTAAGTTCAAAGGTCATGACAAATCATTAAAGGGCAATTAATTTAATTTGATTGACATCGTTACTAAATAAAAAAGAAAATTTATTTGATGAAAATACCACGATAGTGGAGACTGTTCTGATGCTATCTTTGTTGTCTGATATGGTTAATAATTTGAATTCTACAACTACGGAAATTCACATAATTAAAAGAAAAGTGTTTTTTCGTAGTTGTTGAAAGTTTACAATTGCTTTTTGACAAACTAAAACATAGATTATTATTATGGCTTCAAAATTTTTAGGTTTTTTACTGTTTTATGATCAATTTGATTGATAATGGATTTTTAAATACATTGATTTTATGTTAATAGCAGTTTTGTGACCTGAAATACATTATCAGCTGGGCGTGGATTCTGATGACATGTCGTCTTTTCATTAGTGCATTCTTGGCTTGGATAACTTATAATGCCTTTTTATGACAGCATATTAGTGATAGAAATTAGTTATTTGATCTTTTTGGCCATTTTTCAATATAAGGTAATTTTCTGGATTTTGCATAATTTTTGTCATGTTTACGCAATTTTTCGTATTTTTGTTAGTGAACATTTCATGAATCGACAATGACACACCAAAACAAAGTTTGTATTGTATCATGAATTCATTTGAAATTCAGAAGTACCATGGTCTCTGTTTTTCAAACCCTCAAAATTACACAGATCTTCAGTAACTTTCTGGACTTTTCAAAACTGATGGCTGGAAGATCAGAACTAAGGATTACATTTTCTCCATTAACGAAGACTTTATATTAAATATAATTTTATGTCAATAAATTTCATTCTTGCTTGAAAAATTCATTGAATCAATAAAGATATTCCTACAATTTTTGTAGTATAAAAAATTTGTCATGGTCTCCCCCCCCTTTTTTTTCCAAGACATTTTATAGGTCATTTCAAAGAATTTTTAGGGTATCAAAATCCAAGTCCTGATTATCAGTAACTATTAAGCTTATTACACAAGTATTCATGTGAATATTCTGAAGAGTATAGTTTCAGTAAAGTTTTCCCAAACTTTTTGTTGGGAAAAAATTGTATCGGACGTTATCTCATTAGAGAAAGAAACGGTACTATACAAATAAGAAGTATAAGTCAGATATACGTGTTTTGAAGTCAGTTGCATATTTGTTCGATAACTATTTTATCTTCAGAAAGAAAAAAAAAATATCGTGCACTTTTACAAAGCAAGTGTAACGTAGTCGCCACGGCATTCCATGTGCAATCGTGGGCACCCCGCCAAAACCACGAATGTGGAGAAACTTCCCGCTGAGAAAAACTTATTTCGAGGCTCAGTAAAAAAAATCAGATTTCTCTTCCCAAGAGAGCGTAGGGAGCGTAGCATTAATCACATAAAATATAATTATTAATGGAGTACAAGATAATTAATTATTAAGGATCTTTCCTCTAAAAATTTTTGTGACAAGTAAACCTTCAAAAGGGGCCTTGTCAAAAGCAAGATAATGCACTTTGTTGTGGTTTTAGCCCATGGTGGAAAGAGGAGGGTGAGCTACAGTTACTCCGGCGCACCGGTTTGCTCCACTAACCACGTGACCACAGTACGGGCAGTTCATTTGAAAAGCCAGACCAGATGCTGGCTGCCATGTTGCGTGCGAGAAGTGTTGAGAAACATTTTGAAAGTGATGTAAATCGAGTTTTCAAAAGTCACCAACTAACAATATCACGATGGTGTAGAAGATGCAATACTTAAAAGAAATACTTCATGTGTCTGTTTCAATTACTTTGGTGATATTGATATTTGGGTGCATTTAAAATTCCCGCTTGTATTGAAACGCAAAGTGGTGCTTGAAGCTCATTGGCTGAAGTCGATACGATGTGGAATACCTCACCCATCTTTCTGTAATGGTTGTAGCCGTTTTTTATTTTTTTTATTATTTTTTATTTTTAAGTTGCTATTTAATACCACCAACTATGATAGTAGATTCATTTTCACGTTTGTGCCACTGTCATTTTTATAATGTGTAAGATTTTTATTGAAAGGTGTGTAAATCAACATGTCAAAAGTATTGGAACTCCTCGAAAATTTCAGGTGTAAAATAAAACAAAAATTGAAATATTAAATTGCATTAAAAACAGTGTATATTGTATAATTGATATCAGCAAACAAAAATATAACGCAACTTACTGGAAACTTTAAAACGAAGGCCGCGAAAAAAAGGCGGGCCAAAGTATTGGAACAGCCACATAACCGACAGTTACAAATTTAATAAAAGTGTAACTGTAAACAAATTAATATTTGGTGAGATGTCTTGCGGCATTAATTCTACGAGCTTTGTCGTCATAGATTGCATTCCATTCCTCCTAGAGTGCTTGCTTAAGTACATTTTGATACAAATTCGGGCTGATACCAAGTTGTTTTCTTTCTTCTTCAAAATATCCCATAAATATTCAATGGGATTAATGTCTGGAGATTGTGGTGGCGTATTCAGATATCGTGGTGCATTAGAAGGAATCCTCATTCTTGTATTTCAAGCCCTGTGCTTTGGATCATTGTCCTGCTGAAAAATGAAATTGTCTTTAAGGTCCATTTTTCCAGCACTTTTGTGTAGTTTAATTTACACAATATAGACGTACATTGCATGGTCCATTGTACCATTTATAAAGTGAAGAACCCCCACACCAGAAGCACTCATACACCCCCAGCCGTGTACAGAACAGCCTCTCTTTTTCACTATGGCCTGGATGTTCTCTTCGTGAAATTCGGAGTTTCTCTTTCTCCGCGCCATACATCTTTCATCTGCACCAAAAAGTATTAAATTTACATTCTTCAGTAAAAAAGTAAATTGGTTCCATATTTACTGAGAACCGTTTCAATATTTTTTGGTATATTCTAAGCGCATTTTTCTGTTTATGTCATTGACCCAGAATTTCCTGTCTTCTCCTGAGTTTGTTCGTCACGGTTTTCCAAACTCAGTATCTATCAATTACATTAAACACTGTAGTGTGTGATATTTACGCAATCTTTCCGAATTCTCTCCAAGATCTGCATTCATTGCGCGTTAGTTATAATTTTTCTCTTGTTTCATTTTCTTTACGCCCTGTTGTGACATTTGAAGAACAAATATTTCAATATAATAGACATCTGATGAATAGCAGAAAGGAACTTTAAACAAAAACCGTTACAGTTAAGTGTTCACAGGTGAGTCCGGACTGGCAAGGTCAATCTACAGAGGCCGCGGTGGCTTCTGGAAAGCCGTTAAAGTGTTTGCGTTTTGCATGTTCCAATTCTTTTGGCCTCCGTTTTCTATGAGAGATTTGCTTATATATCTGATTTCTCAATTTCCTGTACTTCATTTTAAGTGTTTTTTTTTTTTTTATTGTAGCAACTTCAGTACTTATGTATTTTATTTATTTCCAACGAAAATTGGTTATATTACTTTTTCTATGTAAAATGTATTCATAATCTCTAGATTTTTAAGGCCAGATATTTTTGACACTGTTGTTGTAAATTGTGTTTTGTTATATGCAGAAGTGTTCATTTTTAGGATTTCCTGCCTGTCCGTTGTAATTTAAGTATAATTTAAGTAAATTACATCGGTTTGTTTAAGGTGCGGACCTTGTCAACGAATTGCTCCCGTATTTGATCAGCTGGCCAGGAAATATCAACGAGCTATATTTTTGAAGGTAGATGTAGATAAATGTTCAGACACTGCTTCCTCACAAGGCGTCCAAGCGATGCCCACGTTTATTTTATATAAAAACAAGGTGAGTGATATGGACATTTATGGATTCCGTAACATAAATGCAAACTTAATTTTTCAAATTTTTGATGTAATATTTTTTTACGTGTTCAATTGCAGACTAAAGTAGATAGCGTAAGAGGAGCAGACGCGACTGTTTTGGAAAATAAAATTCAGCAATACTATGGCAGTGAAAATGACGATGAAGCGGACAGCACAGTAGGCGGCCATGTAAGTATCTTCGGGACAGTCTCGCAGTACGCGATGCAGCGGCACTGTAGCACGCCCCAAGTGGATCCAAACGGTGACACGGCCACTCCAAATATTTGAAAAAGAATGCGATATTTTGGTAGAAGGGCCAAATATGTAGAATCACCTTCACCTTTATGTGGTATTTTGCGTTCGTCCAATTTCCATTAGTTTGTGTGCGAGTATCAGAACGAAAACTGAATACCATGTGAAACGGCCCTAATGTATTAACTGACGTTACAAGTCATTTCCCTGTGCTTTCCTTGTGTATTTTCAGCGACTTCCCTGTTTTCCCCGCTTCATTTTATCAGTCGCTTCATTTCCATGAGACTAGCTCTTGCTGTACACATTTTTGGCACAAATATTGACTGTATTTACCCAAACAGAATAGTTTATCATTTGACAGCGATTTTATCGGGACCACGAAGGCTAGTACGATTCTTTAGGCTGAAGAAGGCAGTAAGTTGTCATAAATCTCAGGATGTGGAGATTGAACTAACCATGTGGAGATGCCTACAAAGGAAAATCTGTTTAGATCATTGTTCATATTGTGCTATATTCATGAAATTACATTTTGTCATTTTTTACAGCACATTCCAAACAGAGTCCCACACCAGTTATGCTTCTGCAGTCTAACCATTTTTGTTTTTTGAAAAACAAAAATAATAAAATTACCCTAAATATTTATATTACAAAATTTGAAGGATGTTGAGAGATTTGCAGTGATTCAATAAAACATTTTATGTTCTTTGATACAACCAAATAACTAAATGAAGACTTATTAAATTATGTTCGCCCCAAGTGGATCGAGACTGGATATGTAAAACCTTAAAGTCCATGAAGGTCTCATTTGTTTTCACACAAATTCTAAAGATTGATAATGATGAAAATGCCGCTCACAATTCTGTCTACGCATGGCCAGATATCCTCTCTTAGCTCTACCCGCACACTTCTTTCACTTCCGAATATGTAATCCGTTATCCAATGCAATCTACTCGTTTAAGAGTTGGAAAGACTGAGATTATTTTTTGACAACTTGCATTAAAAATGCACCTCATCACTGCTGAACCAGACGGCATATTCCTGCTGCATACTACATTTTCACGTCCATACACACTAACCAAAATGAAATAAAACTGAAAAGCATCATTGGACATTGTTGCACTGAATGCCCTCCATTTCCCACTTGGGTGAACTAAACATTTGAGTCAAGCAAGTGGTCATGAACTTTCTTGGTTCATAGAACGATGATAGCCATGCACTGTCCCCAAGCGTAGACAAGACATGATGCTAACGCCTCAGTGCTGCTTTAGTTGCAGGATATTAACATTGCTTGCAAAGCTGCTAGGACACTGCAGATCTGATGGCCGGGTACGGCCGCAATGTGGCTCGAAACCAAGTTGTCATAATATCACTTCAATCTCGCCAATTCTCAAACTTTCGCTTTTCGTCGTTTTTATTAGAAAAAATAGATAGATACTTCCTCAGCGCTTTGATTTGCTCTAAGTACATCTTATTAAATGTGAAAACTTTTACTAGCATTTGGAAGGCAAAGAGTCACTCGTTTACATTTATTTTTGAATACACTTTTTAAAGTATTTTGAAGGGTGGATGTTACAGTACACAATAATAATCCAAGACTTTCTGAATGCCCTCTATACAAGTCTTTTTTTCTTTTCTTTTCAGATGGACCTTTTATCTTTTATTCACAAGCAACAGTGTGAAAGTTTGAATGAGGCAGATGAACATCCTTTGGCTCATTGCCTGAACAGCGGACCAGGGTAAGTAATGTGTAGTAGGCATTTACAGAAAAATTTGTTTTGATATTTTTACCTAGATTCATTTCTCAGTTGTTATAATCATTTGATTCCCTAATCAATTATTACCTGATTCCCTGAGTTTTTGAAATAAAGACAGGTTAAGAGAAGTAACCTGTTAAATGATGAGATATGATCCTATGCCGACTTTTCTCACCTGCTACGTATTTATGTTGTAGAAAGTAATTGTACTGCCACTGCGAAAAGTGATGTCGGAAACGACAAACTGGTATTGTGGATTCCTGTTATTTTAAAGGTGGATAATTCATGCTCGTATTTGGCGTAAATTAGTTTCTTGAATACGTTGGGGACGTGTTTTGTGTGTCCTTGATATTGACATGTGGTTTATGGCTAAATATCCATCTGTGGACAACACTGTATGTTAAACCTTTCATAATATTTTCTCCAAAAATTAATTTCCTGCTATCAATCTGTCCGTTCCAATGGCATTGCAAATTCAAATGGTAATCTTGATTATGGGGATACAAGACATGCCTAAATGCCATTTCAAACTTTTCTCAGAAATGCACCAAATTTATGGACAATTTTTTTAAACAATTGGAGTAAATATAACAAAGGCACAGGTCCGATTTTCATTCAACACTGAATTTTTTGAAAGTTGCAAAAATTCAATTTTTTTGGTATCTTCCCTGAAACTACAATACAGACTTTTCTTAATGAAATCTCTTCAAAATTTCATTTCATGAAAGCATCAGAATGGGTGTGTGGCCTGAGCTATTTGGTTTAGTAGATATGCTTATTATTACCAAATGAAAGTCTGTGAATTTTTCACTTTGGGGGCAAAATTTTGCGGGATGTAATCACTTGCGCATGTTTATGTATTATGTTACAGGGTAGCTTTTATCAACAAAGGAACATGTTTTAGTACCACTAGTGAATAAATATATCAGTGATTCATATTACTGACTGATATCTTTCATATCAATTTATCAGTGATTAAAAACAATAAAAAACAATTTTTTTGTCAATAAAAATAGTTTAGAGTACTTTCTACATATGAGGGAAGCTGAATATTCTTTATTCTCTATCGTCTTGGTGGAATTTACATACATTTTAATTAAATTTCTTGATAGAAAAGCGAGAATCCATTCGAAAACAACTCCAAGAAAGCGATGGCCATGAGTAAAGCTAAGAAGCACAAACTTCATTAAGATAGTCTGCTCATTCAATCAATGGTACTGAAGCACTCCAAGAAATACTATAAATCAAAGTAAAAATCCCTCTTGAAGATGGCAAGAAAAATTATTTTCGACGTAATTTTTTAATAAAATAAATTAAAAATAATACAGAGTGTTTAATCAAGTGACAGCAAGTTTCTAGAGTTGTTGTTTTAAGAATTTGAAATTTCATACCTTGGAATCGTTGATAAACTCTTTCCATCTGTGATTTATACTAACTAAATAAATATGTATACCCGTTTATACTAGTATTGATAAAAAGTGACGCAATTTCTGTCTGGTGGTGATTGCAATGAAGGTTAATTACCACATAATTTATATGTAAAATGAGTGTCCAAAAGAGGATCGTCAAATAGTTTCTGAATATGATGCCTTGAAATCATTCGCGACGCGAATTGTGTGTTTGAATCGAGATTACAAATAATTACGCAATAACATGTCTTGGAAGGGATTTACAACTGTGGCGTCGTGGCGAAACGCTTTCGAGCCAGTCGCGCCGGATGAAAGCTCTAGTCCTCTTGGCGTGGGCGAGGTCATGTGCAATGACGTACCTGGGCCGGACGCAGTCGAAGGGAGGGGGGGGGCGGTTAGAGTGCTCATCCCGGATTTGCGTTCCCGGCGGTGTGGAGGTGCCGCCAAGGGGCGCACCTGCTCCAAATAGAGGGACGCCAGGGGGCAGGTGGCATCTGGGAAGGCCCGCTCGAAAATCAACTTTTAAGAAAGGTTTAGTGGCAAGTGTTCGAGGTTCCCGCGCGACCTCTAGAGAAGGCTGGTCAATGAGCCTTCTGGACGCCGAGAGCATGGCGCCACAAGGGGCGGCGAAAGGAAAGGGGGCGTGCCCTCCTGGTACTTAACGCAGCGTCGTCTGCGCTCGCGCTGGGTGCGTTCGGAGTCGAAAGACTGTGGGCTCTCTCCGATGCTAGCAAGCACGCGTTCTTCCAGTCGGAGGCAGATTCGGCGTCCGGCCTGGCTGCAGGTCTAGGGACGGCACTGGGCTGTAGGCTAAAGGGGAGAAAATGTTGCCGGTGGTAGAAAGAGCTTGCCTGACCGAGACTTCGGTAAAGTTCGCAACCTCAGCCCGCTCCTCTACACACTGACCTTCACGCCCGCCCTCCGGACGGGCCAAGCCAGGTCTTCCTGGCTGTCCAGTGTGGATCTTGCGAGGTCTTCCGGGTAGCCGCCTGACCACAGTTTCTGGCTCCTCTGGCGCGGATCCGCGAAAATCTGTGACTGGCGAGAACCTCCGAAATCCTCGCCGTCTCACTCTTCGTTTACTGCCGTAGTTAGCGTTGAGGGGACAAAGAGTTCCGAAATTAGAAATGTTCTCCAAGGTGTTTATCCTAGATTTTATAAGCACCACTTCACCGCACTAACAAAATAAACTTACAAGGACGGATTAGAAAGATCCTCTGGATAGTCACTTCCTAATAAATGGAAGCAAGATCCGCAAATTGCACGTCGCACTTACTTGCTAAATAAGAGATGTAGTAGAAGCCGACGATTTGCATGAGGACTGTGATGAATTTTATGAAAAGAAAGGGATTGTGCGATTAAATAGAAATCTCAATATTTTCATAAACACAATTTCGTGATTTGATTCCCGTGGGCAAATGTTATTTCTATTAATAAAAGGTTACTAATCGATAAGCATTTCAAAATATCTATTACCTATACTGATGTATTAAAGATTAAACTAAATTGATTTAGTTAGATTTATCTCTTATAAGTTTTTACGTAAATAACAACGCGGGCATCTATAAGAACCAATATGCCTTAGATAATCAACAAGTTATTCTTAATTTTCTTTTATCTTCTTAACCTTTAACACTATTTTACGAAAATGTATATTAAAATGGAAATATTAATCATAATTACAACGTACTACTTCTGCGCATGTGACCGTGCTTTACATTGGCTTCTCCAGCAATATCTTGCTCAGACTTCAGTCAATTCTAGCATCCAGCAACAGCCCATATCGTCCGAGGACGAACACACGGTTTACATTACGACGAGTATCTGCAGAATATTGCCAATCAGAAATTTTATTGAGGGAGTTACATTGGCAACTCTTCTTTGAAAATAAAATTGTCACCATTTCTACAGTGTAAGCGCTTAGACGCGAAGAGGAAAGTAACGTTGCTTAAACAGTTAAAGCATCCACAGTTAATTTTTAAAGAAGCGCTTCTTACGCTATTTGACGCCGCAAAACGTACTTCTAACTAAAATTGAAAATTAATTTGACTATGTTTCATTTCAAGTAAATTTCGCTTATTTTTTCCTCAATTGCTAACTAAAGGTATCGTGAAGATGCGTGCTCTGGACATCCAATATATTTTATTCTTACTATACATTCTTTCAAACGAATTTGACACCGCACAAAGCACACTCTACGATCGAAAGATTAATGTTGACCAAAGTTTCGTGAAATATATAAAATTGTTAAGCATGAAGTAGGTGTATAAAATCATAGGATTAAAAACTTGGAAACACTGCAACTTCGAACTCTTTGTCCTCGAAGCAAATAACGCCCGAGAGAAAGATAGCGTGCTCCGCATTCAGTTTTGGTTTTTTCCAGCTACCTTCTTTACAACGATTTCCGCGCAAGACGGCGGTTCTCTCATGATAGAAGTTCTGTATATGACCCTGTCCTTGTAGAGTTAGTTTTGTTAGTGCGGTGAAGTGTGTTATAAAATCTAGGAATAAACAACCTTGGAAAACTGTTATTTCGCAACTCTTTGTCCTCAACGTAACTACGAGACCGAGAGAAATAGCGTTGCTTCGGACCATTCAACGTAATTTCTGATTTCTCAGTTTCGTTCTTTAGAAGATGCGCCGCACAACGACGGATTCTTATGATAGAATTCATACGATACCTGTCCTTTAAGTTTTTTTTGTTGTGCGGTGAAGTGTGCTTACGAAAATCTAGATTAACCTTGAAAAACACTTGTTATTTCGCAACTCTTTGTCCTCAACGCTAAACAACGGAGCACGAAGAAAGATAGCGTTGCTCCGAATTCAACGTATATCGATTTCTTAGTTCCTATTCTTTGAAACGATTGACACCCCCCACGCACCGACGGATCTCTATATGAGAGAAGTATATTACTCTTCCTTTGTAAGAGTTTATTTTGTTAGTGCGGTAAGGTCTTTAATTCTAGATAAACACTTGGAAAACATGTAATTTCGCATCTTTGTCCCCTCACGCCTAAACTACGAGCAACCGAGAAGAAGACTAGCGTTGCTCGCATTCACGTATTTCGGATTTCTTCAGCTTCGCTTCTTTACAACATTCACGCCCCAAAGACGATGCTCTAATTATGAAGTTCATGTATAACCTGCTGTTAAGGTTTTTTGTTCGTAGTGGGCTTTAATCTGGATAAACCTTGGAAAACACTTGTATTACGCACTCTTTGTCCTCGAACACACGAGCGAGGAAAGATAGCGTTGCTTCGACCATCAACGTATATTCGGATTTCTTCAGTTCCCGCTTCTTAAACGATTTGAACGCACAAAGACGGGATCTATAATGATTAGAATATCATGTATATACTGTGTCCTCTGTGTTATTTTCGTTACTGCGGTCAAGTTGTGCTTAGAACTCTGGATAAAACTGGAAAACCCTGTAATTCGCAACTTCTTTGTCACTCACGTAATAACGGCACAGGAAGATAGCGTTCTTCGCCATTACGTATATTTTCGGATTTCTTCATTTCCGCTTCTTTGAATGATTTGACGCGCCCACGACGTTTTAATAATGAGAATATA